GGCTTGAAAAGGTCTAGTTGGATCTACTTCGGGGCTTGGGAGTGTCTGCATCGATGGCTCCCTGGCCTGCAGCCAGCAGCCTTTCAGGTGGCTCTCCCGGTGCATGTTGCAGTGCCTGCAGCCTCTGGGGACAGCTCCCGGCAGGGAGCCTTCGTCTGCCACGAACGTTGGACACACAACTTTGCGAGACCGTTTGGGAAACCGGCAGGTGTAGCCGTATAGCCCAAAACGCTCTACCCTAAGCCCGACACCCTAAACCCTAAAGTGGATGCTGGGCTCACATCTGCGTGGCCATATCACAGATTGGCGGCAAGGCCGCAAGGCACCGGTCAGGCTCTGTCTTTTGGGCCACCGAGTTTTTCCGATGCAAGCATGCGAGCTTCTAGATTCGGTGTAGGGGTTAGGGGTTTATGGTTTAGGTGTATGAGCTCCGCTGGCCCTGATTGGCGGCCTCTACGGCCAGCCGATCTTGTAGTCGTCTTCCGCAAGCTGTGCCCTTCTTCGAAGCACGACGCTCTGTAGCTCCCTAGCCTGGCAACATCCACTTGCACGGATCCTTTTCCTCTGGGCCTGTGCGCGCACGCACTCCGCTCTTTTCTGCCGAGTCTCCCCGAAAAAAGGCACAAATTGCGCTTGGGCGGCTGCCTCACTGCCGCACAGCTCACGAGAACTAGACCTCGTCCCTCGTGTCAGCAGATCAGATTCCTACGATAGGGATCTAAAATCAGGTTCCCTTTAAAGGTAATTAATATGCTATTCATAGGCTTTCTTCCGACCTTTGGGAGGACAGAGGGCGAGGCCGAACCAATCCTGGATGTCGACTTGCTCGTTGCGGCCTTGCAGCTTCGGTTTTTGGTGGGCAGGGAGTGTTTCTGCATCGGCTTGGAGCGGCGAACAAGTCATGACTGCGTGCGTCCCCCTGCGTGCATCCCGTAACATGGATTGAGAGGGGGGAGGCGAACCAGCTGGAAAGGCCGTTGCAGAAGTCGTGAAACAACTCGGGAAAAAAGAGCCATCGTTTTCTTTCGTCGCGAGTCCCCCGGTTTCCAAGCCAGTGCGCTAGTGTGCAAGGCCCACAGCAACGAGGCCGACCATCCTCTGATCAGGCTGAGCCTTCAGGGGAAGAAGGCTGCTCCACATTCAGTCTGCTCGGTTTTGTCGGACACAATGTCGAGATCTGCGAATTGATGATTTTGCCGTGGCTTGCGTCCGCAGCAGTTCGAGCAGGCTTTCCAGGAGAATCACGCATGGACAGCTGGCGAGCACTAAACCGCGTCCATCTACGCCCTCTTGTCAGCAGATCAGGCTTGCTTCAGGCCTATGCCAGGGCAGAGGGCGAGCTCGAATTTCTGGACACACACATGTGTACGCCCGTACCACCTCGTTACTTGTGCCGCGAGCCAAGCCTGGATCTACGATCTTTTTACCGCCTTGGTGCGAGTCTCGCTGCTCGGCTGCTGTTTCTTGGAGCGGCGAATGAGTCATGACGGCGTGCGCCCCACCGGATGCATTCGTCAACAATCATTGAGGGGAGGGCATACAAGTTGGAAAGGGCAACGCAGAAGTCAACTCCGAAAAGCGGAGCTGCTCGTGTTCTTTTGTTGTGAGCCATCATCAGCTTTCTCATGCAGCGAAATAGCGCACAAGGCCCACAGCAACGAGACCGATCATCCTCTGATGAGGTTGAGCCGTGAGGTAAAGAAGGCGACTCATTCGGGGACATGCAGAGCCTCTTCAAGTCTCTGAAAGCTTGGGTGTTTGTGGGTCCAGGCATCGGCCAGGCACCAATCTGGCTGAGTGGGATTGCTGCAGAGGAGATTGAAGCCCAAGCAGGAGACGTGAGCTGTTTGACAGATTGCGTTGGTCTAGGCTTGTTCTCAGATCATCTGCCACCGCTTTGGAGCATGGTCGCGATGGTCCCGTCTTGAAACTGCGGCTGCACATGGATCGGGCGCTGAGGGGCTGAGAGGACAAGCGGGTTTGAAGCCTGGTCCAAGGACTCAAACTCGAGGATCTCGCCGGCACAGCTAGATCCCCTCTATCTGACGTGTGCCTCTTTGATTTCCCCTCTTCCCGGTGGTGGAAGCCTTTATCCTCTAGGGTTTTGAAGAGTGTTTCGGATGGCGAGGACAGTGCTGTCCGCGCCCTGGCTCCACAGGGTACGCGGGACAGCTTGGGTCGTTTAAAGCTACGTAAAGTGTAAGAGTATTTATTCAAGAAGCAGAATGTTTGACCATTGCCTGGGCCCACCGAGACTCTTTGCACAGACCGGGCAGCAGCAGGAATCGTTCGGGTTGTGTTCCATGAGGGTACTCGTGGTGGCTGGCAAGCTGACCTGTGAGACGATGGGATCCTAGCCGCTCTGCGCTGCGCTTCTTTGGCTGTGGCCAGGCGCGTGAGGCGTACCCAATCCATGAAGCAAACTTCGGATTTGGTTCACGTTTGTGCACTGTCCGAGCGTAATTATTGCTTGAAGCCTCGAAAGTGCCCGGCGACTATGGTGCACCTCCCCACCACGCACCACAGTTAAGTTTCCGGCTTTTTTCTACTAGTAGTAGTTGGTTCGTACTCGGCGCGGCTGATGGCAGGCTCACAGAGAGCGCCGGAGCTCTGCGATGATGTCCACAAGAGTTGTTCGGGATTTGGCCGGTGCTGTCCGACTGCTGAATGTCGCGCCCGGCGCGATCCATCCGACCGCGCCTGCCCGTTGTCGCACTGACAAAGTTCAAGCTTGGCACGGGGTCGGTGCTCAGTGACGAAGAGCTCGTTTCTGCACACAAGGCTGCTCGCGTCACCGGATACCGGCGGCTTTAGGGACACGGTGCCATGGCTATGGCTTTGCCATGAGAACGCTTCCGAGCCTGTTCCACGGCGTAGCAAAACAAGAAAAAACGTTCGGAGTCATCAGTCATGGCATGTGGTCAGCTAACTAACAAACGAAAGCAGATAACGTTGTGTAAAGTGTCCACAGTCGCTGCTGATTGCTGTGCGAGGAGCAAGAATGCTGTTGCCCGCTCCTGAAATCATGGATAGATGGTAGTGCGATTGCCAAGGTTTGCCTGTGGCCACGCCCCAGCCATCGTGGACACATAAATGTATCGTTACATGCATTCAAAAACATAGATGTGTTCTTATGGGAGCGACAGGAGCATGTTGGGGATCTCTTTAACCTTGGCGAGGATCCTCTGTACAGGGAAAAAGCGCTTAAATCATTCAGCATGATTTCTTCGATGCTTTGCTCTTGCTAGGCCCGGTTTTCCGTTTCGAGGTCGTCAGGTTTCTGAGTTCCATTGTCTGTCTGAAAGTTGCGGGCAATGCCCACGCCATGGATGGCTGCACCGATGGCTTCTCCCCGCCTTATCGGAAGCCGGAGGCAGGATCTTTACTGTATCGCTTCGTGCGCCCCTCTGCCTCGGCCCGGTGGCAGGTGAAGAGTAATCTAGACACCCGGGCCTAGCCCCTTAACTTCACGATGCACCCAAAAAAGATAACTAACTGTCCTGGTACTGGGGGTCTTTGGAAAGCCGTCTGAAAGTCCTTCAACACCGATACTGTGATGTCTGTTTTTTTGTGAAACATTGCCTTCGAGATGGGCATGAGACAAGACACTGCGCCCACTTTACTCGAAATCGCTAACTCAACAAACATCCTCACAAACTATATAGAGGAAACTCATTTCAGAGCCTATATGATGCAACCTGATTCATTTCAGGTGTAGGGTGAGAGTTGAACGGTAGTCGGATCCCAAGCAAGAGTGACAGAAGAGTGAAAGAGGGTAGCTTTCAGGCTTTGTGCAGGCTCCATGCTAAGGGTGGCCCTGTACTTGGAGGTTCATGGGTAGTTATAAGTAGGGTTATAAGTAGGGTAACTATACTTATAACTCATATTAGGGGACCTGTAACCTCACTAACTAAGTCCCATGATCCTCCAAGGAGACGGTATCACTTCGCCGTGGCCGAAACGTTTGAAGCATTAGCGAGGGTTTCTGTCATAATCTTGATGGCTGCGGCTGGCTGGCTGCTGCTGGTGTGCTTTATGATTTGGGGATCCTTTTGCATGAAGGTCCCGTTCCATTATGCGTCTTATACATTTCGCATATGTTTTCGTATATGTATGTTATCTGAAACTATGTATATGTATACAGGCACGTATCTAAGATGTATCTATGTATACACACGTACATGCACAAATGCATGCACGCACTTACATGCACCTATATATATATATATATATATACACACATACACATGTATCTGTGTATATATATATATGTATATAAATATGTATGTATACACACATATCTACCCCAAGACTTGGACCTCCCCAGCCTCAAAGACCTGCACACGACATCCAAGCGACGGAAAAATCTCCTTGCAAGTAGCAGCCCTGGTCAGCGTCGTCGCTACTCTGTTTTCTTTTCTGTGTTCACACGTTGTGTTGCCATTCGTAGCTTGTGATTGGGCTTTCACGGGTCCCAGTGGCCCCGGTGTGTTCAATACCAATCTGGTGAGAATCCAAGCTACGCGGACTCCAAATCCCACTCCCTGTTAAGCAAGCATCAACTGTCACTTGAGGACAGTCAGCCGAGGCTACACCTGAAACATCCTGAAACCACAAGCCTAGTTCGCAGGCTTTGGCGGACATGCCTGCAGCGAGCCATTCTCCTTCGATTCCTGCCGAGGTGCATTGCCATGTGTGTTGGCTTAGACATTCGAGACAATGGGCTACACACTGCATTCTTGTGAATGTGTTAGCGCCATGTGTGCGCCGCGGCTTCTCTCGCTGGATGGTTGCAGCTTGTCCGTTCAACTGCCTCCAAGTTGAGCTCGCTGCTGTCGTTTCGGCTCTCGAAGCTGTGCAAAGCACACGGCTTGGATCGGTGCCGGCTGTTGGGTACATCGGTCCTAAACCTTAGGTCCTAAACCCGAAAGCCGTTAAACAAACACCCTAAGCCCGGGCTTCGGGCCTCGGGCATCGCCAGAGAGCCTCGTGAGCAGACCATGACTGAGATCTTCTCCTGGGTCCCAGTTTCTGGGAGCGATGCGTTCGGCGTCTTCCTGCCGCCCGTTCCGAAGCTCGGTCTTCCAGTGGCATAGTTTTGTTTTCCCGAAAGCATCGCGAAGGGTTCTTCCGTGCGGAGCCGGGTAGTTGAGTACATAGATGACAGACATAGAATCTACTTACATGACTCTATACCTTACTTGACTTACTTACTTGACTGTATACCTTACTTGACTCTACACTTGATACTTGATTCTATGACGCTATACCTTAAATACTTACTTACTTACTTGACTCTATACCTTACTTGACTTAATTGCTTGACTCTATACCTTACTTGACTCTACACTTGATACTTGACTCTATGACGCTATACCTTAAAATACTTACTTTCTTACTTACTTGACTCTATACCTTACTTGACTTACTTACTTGACTCTATACCTTACTTGACTCTACACTTGATACTTGACTCCATGCTATCTCTATGCTATGAACTTGAACTCTGTACTGACGTTTACTTACTTACTTACTTACTTGCTTACTTGCTTACTTGCTTACTTGCTTACTTGCTTACTTGCTTACTTGCTTACTTACTTACTTACTTACTTACTTACTTGACTCTATGCTATCTCTATGCTAATTCTATGCTATGAACTTGAATTTGACTCTATGCCTCTATGACTTACTCTCTACATCTCGGTATCTAATCTCTCTTCTAAAGCCAGGGGTGGCACCGTCGTCATCCATCGGGAATGCAACCCTTCACAGGGATTGGCCACCTCGAGCGCCCAAACGCTAGGTAAAGTTACACATTTTGCGGTGCCCGTGCAACCCTTCACAGGGATTGGCCACCTCGAGCGCCCAAACGCTAGGTAAAGTTACACATTTTAGGCGCGCGGCGCAACCTTTCACAGGGATTCGCTTCCTCGAGCGCCCAAACGCTAGGTAAAGTTACACATTTTGGGCGCGCGGCGCAACCCTTCACAGGGATTCGCTTCCTCGAGCGCCCAAACGCTAGGTAAAGTTACCCATTTTAGGCGCGCGGCGCAACCATTCACAGGGATTCGCCTCCTCGAGCGCCCAAACGCTAGGTAAAGTTACACATGTTGCGGTTCCGGCGCCACCCTTGACAGGGATTCGCCTCCTCGGGCGTTCAAACGCTAGGTAAAGTTACACATGTTGCGGTTCCGGCGCCACCCTTGACAGGGATTCGCCTCCTCGGGCGTTCAAACGCTAGGTAAAGTTACACATGTTGCGGGCGCCGCGGAACCCTTCACAGGGATTCGCCTCCTCGGGCGTTCAAACGCTAGGTAGAGTTGCGCATTTTGCGGGCGCCGCGCAACCCTTCACAGGGTTTGGGTGCATTGAGGTGCATTTTGCAACCCTTCACAGGGATTGGCATTTTGCAACCTTTCACAGGGATTGGCATGGTCGAATGCACGAACGCTAGGTAAAGTTGCCACTTTTGATGTGCATTGAGAGGAATTTTGCAACCCTTCACAGGGATTGGCGTGGTCGAACGCGCGAACGCGAGGTAAAGTTATTACTTTTGATGTGCATTGATGTGAAATTTGCAACCCTTCACAGAGATTGGCGTTGTCGAGTGTTCGAACGCGAGGTAAAGTTGACACTTTTGCTGCGCATGAAGGTGCAGTAGAAATAGTAAGTAATAGTAGTAATAGTGGTAATAGTAGTATTAGTAGATGGTAGTAATAATAATAGTAGTAGTAGTAGGAGTACATAGTACCATGGCGTTGCCGCCACAGCAGCTGAATGGCCTGCGAGAGGGCTTTGGCGAGCACGGTGAAACCTGGCTCCGTGCGGAGCTTCGGAGACTAACTACCAGGCAGTTGTGTGGGCTTGCTGCCGCTGCAGGCGTGCCGCAGAGCTCGTCCTGGCGCACTCTGTCCAAGCTGGAATTGGTATAAGCTCTATCACAGTGCATTGTCGAGGAGGAGGCTTCATGGGGAATCGATGTCGTTGATCATTGTTTGTGTCAATTTGTCTTGCAGTGAGGCGTCAGTGTCGTGGCCAGGTTAGATGTTTCGTGCTTTCACGTAAAGTTTTTGCTGTCAAGTCGATGCTGTTGCTGCGTCGGAGCAAAAGCTGCAGGAGCTGCGAGAGGGCTGTGCCGAGCACGGCGAAGCCTGGCTCCGCGACGAGTTCGGGAAGCGGACTCGCGATCAGTTGCGTGGGCTCGCTGTCGCTGCGGATGCGCAGCAGAATATCGCGGCACATTGCCGAGCAGGACGCTTCATGGGGAATCGCTGTCGTTGATCACTGCCTGGGTGAGTCAGTTTGCATTGCAATGAGGCGTCGCCGGTGCCTGCTCGATGACTTATTCAGGCTCGGAATCTCTACGTCGATTATAGAGGCTTTCTCATTGCACATGTATGACCCGCATGCTTTGCTCGAGGGATGAACATGTTGCAGCATCTTACCATACTGAGGACTGTTCTTTACCTGCCTCGCTCTGCTCGAAAGTGAAAATACGTTGCAGCATCTCACCATACTTAGGACGGTTCTTTGCCTGACTAGACGCTGTCTTGCGAAAGAGCCGGGGTGGACACATGGTGTTGCTGCCATAGCAGCTGAATGGCCTGCGAGAGGGCTTTGGCGAGCACGGTGAAACCTGGCTCCGAGCACTGCCAGGCAGTTGTGTGGGCTTGCTGCCGCTGCAGGCGTGCCGCAGCGCTCGTCCTGGCGCACTCTGTCCAAGCTGGACTTGGCATAAGCTCTATCACAGTGCATTGTCGAGGAGGAGGCTTCATGGGGAATCGATGTCGTTGATCATTGTTTGTGTCAATTTGTCTTGCAGTGAGGCGTCAGTGTCGTGGCCAGGTTAGATGTTTCGTGCTTTCACGTAAAGTTTTTGCTGTCAGGTCGATGCTGTTGCTGCGTCGGAGCAAAAGCTGCAGGAGCTGCGAGAGGGCTGTGCCGAGCACGGCGAAGCCTGGCTCCGCGACGAGCTCGGGAAGCGGACTCGCGATCAGTTGTGTGGGCTCGCTGTCGCTGGCGGATGCGCCGCAGAAGTCAGCCGGGCGCAAATTTTCCAAAGCGGAGTTGTTGGAAGCTTTATCGCGGCGCATTGCCGAGCAGGACGCGTCATGGGGAATCGCCGCCGTTGGTCACTGCATGCGTGAGTCAGTTTGTATTGCAATGAGGCGTCGCCGGTGCCTGCTCGATGACTTATTCAGGCTCGGAATCTCTACGTCGATTGCAGAGGCTTTCTCATTGCACATGTATGACCCGCATGCTTTGCTCGAAGGGATGAACATGTTGCAGCATCTTACCATGCTGAGGACTGTTACCGTCTTCCCTGCTGGATCAGCTCCAACCAAGGATACCGCAGCACTATAATACGATCACCGACCACCGGACCTGGCTGCACTGAAACAACTTGACACCATGACTCTAGATACTTATTCACCTGACTTATGCACTTGACTCTATGCACTTCGCCGCATGCAGTTGACGTCATATACTTAAGTTTACACACTGCTTCGACAGCTTTGACAACATCGACTGAGGAACGCAGAGTGAAACACGTAGAGTCAAGTTCATAGATTCAAAAATATCGATCTCGGCATTGCCATATACTTCATAATTAGATGCACTTCGCGCTATGACTTTATAATTCTATGCACTGGATTCTGTAACGTAGCGCTAAACTCTTCGCTAATGATGCTTTCGGGCCAATTGTCTTTTAGTTTTTTGGGTTCCTTTCCCTTGGTTCGTGTCTGCACTGAATCCTGAAAGAGGGCTGTCCGAGCTTGGCTCAGGAACCTCATTGGAGTGATACTGTGGGCCTTCGAAACGTGCATCTTCAAGTGGCGTCTCACGCTGGACGGGTTCCCTGCGCTGCTTTGCGATCTGCCGCCACGGCTGCTTCCACCTCTGTCTGGCGAAATCCCAGAAGATGAGGCCCTCTTAATTAAGGAATATACTTTAAATCTTATAAGGGATCCTATTGTAATTCAAGTTATATTCCTTAACTTAGTGGTTTTGGAGCCCCTGGGGAAAATGAGGCTGCCAGAAGGTTGCGATACTGGGGCGCCTGGCTTTTGCTGAGCCCCTTCTTGATGGGACTCCTGTGTGAGGCGTGCCGGGTCTTCAGCATTGGTGCCAAGCACTTATGGAGTTGCATAGAGCACTCTCTTGCGCAGCGGATCGGCTACAACATGGTTCCAGAAGCAGATGCGAAAACCAAACCCTGGGTTGATACTCGTGATGTCTCTCGTGTGGATGCGACGGGAAACAGGACGAACGTCGGCTTCAAGCTCCAGATGGTTGTCTATCATTCGTTCTGCGCATCCCTCGTGGGTGTGGCAGTGACAAAAGACTGGCTTTCCGTGGGGGGCGGGGGTATGGCGTGGGAGTTGTGGGCCGTCTGGCAGCAAGTTTGCTTGTGGACACTTTTTCTTGAGAACCTGGTGCGCTGCGTGTGTTTTCCAACAGAAGCATTGGGCTCGTCTACTTTCAAGGTAGTGTGCCTCTACACTGTCCCATTGCTGAGCGAAGTCACAGACACAATGAAAGATTGGGTGATGACCGGAGTGTGTGTGCTTGCGACACAAAGTTCTGCGGGGCTTGTAACAGGTGCCATCATGATTCTTGGAGACGTGCTGCTTGCATACGGGGCTCACACTTTGCATGTGGGGATCAAGATCACGGGGTCTATCGGAATGATTTGCCCGCCCGTGGTAGCTCTGCAAGCCCTGGCCTTTACAGCTATCACCTTGATTTATTGTTTGCATGTGCTTCTGGGGACGGCCACAATGGTGGCATTTGTCCTGGGCTGGGCAGGGGTTTTCTTGCTGATCTCGGTCGTCGCTCTACTTGCCCTCGGCGGAGGCCTTGTCTTCAAAGGCATTGCCTTCCTCTGCTGCCTGCCGCTGCTGTTTCTGATTGTGATACAGATAACGGGAGAGGTGGGTTGCGTAGGGGCTTTATTGGTGCTCTTGGCTGCCGCACTGCTTATCTATGGTCTTGGCAAGGTTCCTGTTTCGGAGCCGAGGCTGCACAGAACTGCACATTTTCTTTCGAAGAATCTACATGGGGGTTTCCGAAAATAGGGGACCCTAATGTAGTACCTTAAATAGTAGGATCCCTAGTATAAGGACCCCCAAATAAGGTACCCCTATTTTCGGAAACTCCCACATGTACCTGCAAGGGTTTGAACCGCCAGTGTTGGTTGCTTGCTGCGGAGCCTAGGAACATCTTCTGGCATTGGGCGGCTTCCTGAACCCGCAGCTCGAGAAAATGCAGGTTCTCCTTGGACGAGTCTGGGCAACGCGTGGTTTTGGTCCCTGGCTCTTTCAACAGTGGATCTTGTTGGTGACTGATGCAGGTTGCCTGGCAGTTGTGTCCTCTTACACGATCGTGTACTCATATTGGCTGGTCACGCATTTTCCGGAGACCTGCAATGAGTTGAAGAGGTCATACCGGCCCATCATCTCCTTGCGAAAGCCGACAGAACTCCCTCCAACCACTTACGGGATAACATTCTTCGGATGGTTGAGCACCAAGTGCTCGAACATGTTCGCAGGACTCTGTGTGGACTTCCTGAGCTCTGCACGCTTCTTGATCGCGGTTGGAGAAGATTGGCCGCAAGGGCTGCTCGGCGCCATCATCAGCTACAGGTATGGACATGGCTTGGGCTTCGCCGGTGTAAGCGCTGTTTGGAGCTTCCTCAAAGGCATCCTGATAGCAATTGGCCAGCTTGTGATTTACAGCAACAGGTCTCAGGCAGTCGAGTGGGCAATCGCCAATATGCCAGAAATCTTTGCCTCACGCATCTTCATGGACGGCAAGCAGAAACCACGACCGTTGTCAGAAGTCGAGCAACAACTCACGGACATGTTCTTGACGTGCGATGTAATCGGCGAGGAGGTGTTTGCAGGGCTGCACTTGCGACGCGGCGTGGAGTTGTTTGACAGCCTTTTCGAGCGCCTGGATAACTGGATCAAGGACATGAAATCAACAGGAGACCCTGCAACTAGCTGGGGCATCAGGAAATAGGCGAGCCGTAAGCTTGAAGCCAAGTCACTTCCTTACCAAACTTGAGTGTCTCCAGGTTCTTTGTGAGCCCTTTCCCGATCACCTCCTTGAACTTGCAGCAGCCCTTCTCTGCAAGAGCTCTCATGAAGATTTGCAGCTAAGCTTTCGAAAGTCTGCCCGGAGGAGTCGGCGATAAGACCTTCAAGGCTCGTGCTGTGATCTGCCATGGTGCGATTGCTTGAACCCTAAACCCGAAGGCCCCATGTGAGTGCCGGAGCTAGGCAGGACGAGAGCTCGACGGGGCGGGGGGTGGGGTCCCGGAAGGTGAAGCCACGGATCGGGGCTTGGTACTCTGGTGGCTCGTGTCCCTCCATGGGCTGATGTCATCATGTTCGGTGCATTTCCTAACTCTTCTGGCTCTCTGAACCACCGATGAGCTAGTCTGCCTACGTAACCTTCTTGGATGCTTTTCGAATCTCGTCTTGTGGGCTGCCTGCAACCTTTCTGCCATCCTTTGCAGTGGCTTCTTGTCAGTCTCGACACCCCCCAGAACTGGATTACCGGGCCCGATGCTTTGCTATCCTATTGCTGGGATTAGACTATTTGGTGCCAGCCCGCTTTGCCTCCATCCCTGCTTGATGCCTTACTCAGCCCCGCTCGTGCCCCTTCTAGCTTTGCTGTTCACGCGTTCCTGCTTGGCTATTGCGACGAGCAACTGTTGCTCAAATCTCCGGGGCTGTTCCTCCTGCAGTGCATACCGTGCTATAGTGCCAGGCTCTTAGTTTGGGTTCAACAGACTCGTCCTGTTGTTGTGAGATGGGTTTCAATTTCAACTCTGGCACCTAAAACGCTACACCATCCCCGACCGGTGCTGATCGGCTTGCGTGTGACGAGTGTACATATCCGAGACTTAGTATTCCCTGTTCTGTGAGGAGTGCGTGACCCAAGAACTCTGTGTGTTTTTGTGGTGTTTAGCCACCTGGGCTTCTCAGGACATAACATGTCAGGCGTGTATGTCTTCCTCATGCTTGCCAGTAGGTCTTTGTCATCCTTGCTCGGATGTCACTCTGAGTAGAAGGTCAAAAAAGCAGTGCCTTCCGTGACCTTGTCACAAGCTAAGGCACAATGTGCATGATTTCCTGGTCTAGGAAGTTGTCAGGGCTATTGCGCTCTGGCAATGATATCTTGCATGCTTCGAGAGCAGGACTTGGTCATCGTGAGCCTGCTAAGACGCTACATGGAGCAGGATGTTCCCATCAAGTCGATCAAGGACCTGGGCTTCAGCCGGCAAAGCTGCCAGGCTATTTTCGAAAGCATGGCTAGGACCAGGTGTTGGTCAAGCGTGTCAACGGTGAGCAAGCATGGCTTGTAATGTAATCATGTGCTTGCTTCACTTCTGCCCCGAAGTTCGCTGGCAAAGGATGCGACAAAGACTGGTTGTTTGAATTGCTTCTGTTGTGATGGGGGGAGATGTAGAGAGTTTAACGTTTAGACAAATGTCCACCGCACAGAATCGACAACAGAAGACCAGCCATGTCAAGATTCGCTGTTATTTGGAAAGCATTCTACCAAGGTTACCTGCAGGTTTATACTATGCCGGACTTCCTGAAAGAAGGCATTGTTCAAACACCTGCAGATGCAGAGAAAGAGGGCTTCACCATCTCTCTGGACATTGAGAAAGCTGGCACAGTCTTGAAGGACAGGTTCACGCGTAATGATCTACAAGAGTACGGATGCACCCTTGAGCAGTACCTGGAATCGGGTTGCAGCATGACGGCCCGGAACGCGCGGGAAGGCGGGTTTTCTGCAGAGGAATGCTATGCAGCAGGTCTGGTGCTCACTGTCGAAGACTGTTGCAATGCAGGTTTTTCTCTGAAAGACATTGTGCGCTTGTACATGGGATCGGTCGAAGACGTCTTGAAGGCATGTGAGGAAGCTGGGTGTCAGTATTCTGCCAAGGACTTCAATCAGGCAGGTTTGGCAGCGAAGCATTGCAAGGAGGCTGGCTGTTCATTGAAGGATTGTCAAGATCATGGATACTCGCTCCAGCAGTGCCGGCGGGATGGCTTCTCCTCAAAAGACTTCAGGGACGAAGGCTTCTCAGCGAAAGACTGCAGGCAGGCCGGCTTCTCCTTGAAGGACATTCAGCAAGCTGGCTTTGGCATCACGGAGGTCTACGATCAAGGCCAGGAACATCACGAACATTCACTGGCACAGTGTCGGCAGGTGGGGTACTCTGCAAGCGATTGTCGCCAGGCACAGTTCTCAGTGAAAGACTGCTTACATGCAGGCTTTTCTCTGGAAGATCTTCTTGAAGCAGGCTTTTCAGAGGAAGCCCACAGCATTGTGAAGTCCGGCTTGACCGCCAGCATGTGCCAGCAGAGGGGCATCTCCATGACGTTCTGCAGGGAAGTTGGGTTTTCCTTGCATGAGTGCAGCGAAGCTGGCTACTTGCCTGGAGATTTCAAGGCTGCTGGCTATTCAGCAAGAGAGTTTCAGAAAGCAGGCTTCTCAGTGAGAGCTTGTTTGGAGGCCGGCTTTTCTTTGCAGCATGTCCGGCAGAGTGGTTTTTCACTGAAGGCCTGCGCGGATCAAGGTTTTTCAGTTCAGCAATGTCGGCAGGCTGGGTATTGTGCAACAGATTGCAAGAAGGAAGGTCTCTCACCAAAGGACTGTGTAGAAGCGGGCTTTTCTTTGTTGGATTGCAAGGAGGCTTGCTTTTCGCTGCAGGATTGCCATGATCATGGATTCTCGCTGGAGCAGTGTCGGCAGTCTGGTGGCTACTCTGCCACAGATTTCAAGAAAGGAGGCTTCTCAGTTAACGACTGCGTGAAGGCGGGCTTGTCTTTGCAGGAGATTCGAGAGGCCAAGTTTACAGTCAAGCAATGCAAGCAGCAAGGATTTTCATATGAGGATTGCAAAGAGGCCGGCTTTTCTGCACTGGATTTCAGCCGGTCTGGTTATTCTGCCTTAACTTGCAAGCGCGTGGGATTCTCAATGAAGGACTGCAAGCAAGGAAAGTTTACCCTTGAGCAGTGCGCCGAAGCTGGTTATCAGGTAGTGCAGGAATGCAAACTGGCAGGCTATTCTTCATCCCATTGTAGGAATGCAGGCTGGTCTATGGAAGGCTGCTTCGAGGCCGGATATACTTTGTTGGAATGCAGAGAAGCTGGATATACTCGGTATTGGTCTGTCTTAGAGTATTCGAAGGCGGGCGGTTCTTTGTCGGATTGTATTGCAGCTGGATACTCTGCATTACACTTTCGTGAGTCTGGCTTTTCACTGCAAGATTGCGTGCTTGCCGGCTTCTCCTTGTTTGAATGCAAAACTGCCGGATATACTGCAGCGGATTTCATCGAGGCCGGTTATTCTGCCCTAGCATGGCATTATGCAAGGATCTAAACACACAGCGCAAGGAATGCACAACCCGCACTGCCAATGATTGACATGCTTCTTGAATGATTTCATTGTTTTTGCTACATTCCGGCTGCTGCGCGTGGGCGGTTGCACGACTTCACAATCATCACGGTGTGCACCTGCGCCTTGCAGCAGTGGTTGTGCCTCCACAAAGAAGCAGCGAGAAACACTGGATGACCTTATGCTTGTGAGGCATTGTGACATCATTATATGTTCGATGTCGTCTTAACTCGGTTGCAATTTGCAGGGGCGCTTCAACCACCCAATTACCCAGTAGCTGCAAAGCAGTCGGTGGAGCTGCATGTCAAAAGCTTGCGCAGCTTCAGGACAACCAAGCTTAACAAGCTGCGCAGTGGTCGCTGCATGATTTCGAGACATAGGTTGGGTTCCAGTGACAATCGTGTCTGTCTTGTAATGCACAAGCTGCACTGTTTCACAGTAATCTGCATGCAAAGATATACGGTTGGTGATATACATCTTGCATTACCCATAACAAGGAATATGCCATAACTCCCATCGTCTAGGGTCTTTAAGGTAATGCAGGATTTATGTCATCAACCGTATCGCTGAGTTCCTGGTGAAAAAAAGTAGTTGCCACAGTAAAGAGCAATTAGCAGTCTAGCACTGTAGGAATGCAGGCTGGTGTATGGAAGACTGCACGAAGGCCGGATATACTTTGTTGGAATGCAGAGAAGCTGGATATGCTCGCTATTTGTCTGTCATGGAGTATTCGAATGCGGGCGGTTCTTTGTCGGATTGTATTGCAGCTGGATATTCTGCATCACACTTTCGTGAGTCTGGCTTTTCACTGAAAGATTGCGTGCTTACCGGCTTCTCCTTGTTTGAATGCAAAACTGCCGGATACAATGCACAGGATTTCATCGAGGCCAGTTATTCTGCCTTAGCATGGCATTAAGCCAGGGTCTAAACACACAGCGCAAGGAATGCACAACCCGCACTGCCAATTATTGACATGCTTCTTGAATGATTTCATTGTTTTTGCTACATTCCGGCTGCTGCGCGTGGGCGGTTGCACGACTTCACAATCATCACGGTGTGCACCTGCGCCTTGCAGCAGTGGTTGTGCCTCCACAAAGAAGCAGCAAAAAACACTGGATGACCTTATGCTTGTGAGGCATTGTGACATCATTATATGTTCGATGTCGTCTTAACTCGGTTGCAATTTGCAGGGGCGCTTCAACCACCCAATTACCCAGTAGCTGCAAAGCAGTCGGTGGAGCTGCATGTCAAAAGCTTGCGCAGCTTCAGGACAACCAAGCTTAACAAGTTGCGCAGTGGTCGCTGCATGATTTCAAGACATAGGTTGGGTTCCAGTGACAATCGTGTCTGTCTTGTATTGCACAAGCTGCACTGTTTCACAGTAATCTGCATGCAAAGATATACGGTTGGTGATATACATCCTGCATTACCCATAACAAGGAATATGCCATAACTCCCGTCGTCTAGGGTCATCAAGGTAATGCAGGATATATGTCATCAACCGTAGTGCCGCCTGCAGGAAGGGCATGTCGCCGTGCACTTGTTTCCGACTCCTTGAAAAAGCCTTGCAAACTAATCTAGGAGCCTGATTAAGAAACCCCAGTCGCATAAGCCCCAAAGCAGGATCAGGATCCATATAAAGAGCGCTAATAAAGGCCCCGGGTTTCTTAATCAGGTTCCTAGACTAATGTCGCCTTCCAGCCCCCGTTTAATTCTACTGCAATCTACATGTACACCGAAGCTCTCGCGATTTGGCAATCTGCTTTTCACTTAGCAGCCTAAACCCCAAACGCTAACTGGGTAAAATGATGACTTCCAAGCAACGCATGACGAGGCTGCGGAGCAAAGCGCTGCCCTCAGAGGCCTTGTCAGAACGATGGCACGAGTGGGATTAACAGAGATGCAGGGGTTTAGGGTTCAGGGGGTGGGGGAAAATATGGCTCAAGGTAGCTGTTTAGGGGCGCTATTGCAGATCTTTATTCCAAGGAGCATCCCTAAACCCTAAACCCAGAATGGACCCTTGATTCTCTGAGACTCTCTGCCGTTCCCTTGGCTGCAGCTCATGTATCTCTTCAAGGGGTCGTTGTCTCGCGCATGGGAGGCCAGAGCCCCCAAATATCTCTTAATTCAGGAATACCTATAGGGTTCCATAAAGGGATCTATAGGGATAAGGGTTTGGGGACTCCCATATCCCTTATGTTTCAGGAATATGCTCTAAATTATAGTGGGATCTCTAATACGGTTTAAGGAATATCCTTAATTAAAGGATATTGGAGTCTCTGGAAAGCCGTTTGCTTCAAGTTGTCGTCCGAACTTTCGTTTGTTCGAAAGTTGTAGCAAGAAGGCGCCCTGTCCGCAATGTACCAGACGTGGATAGCTGTCCTGGTACGTAAGAGCCCCAGACTAGACTAATTAATCTTATACTTGGAGGTTCAGGGGTAGTTAGTTATAAGTATGGTTCTAAGTCCCCTAACATGGGTTATAAGTATAGTTGCCTTTCTTATAACCCTACTTACAACTAGCCATGAACCTCCAAGTTAGGCTCGTTTGGAAGCTGTTTGAAGCATCCTTCAACACGTGACTTCCTCGCTGTAGCAGGGGATCTTCCGAGCTCCGTCCATGCAAAAGATGGGAGTTTCCGAAAATTAGGGGACCCTTAGGGTTCTTTTACAGGGTTACTATAAGAGTTTCTTTAGGGGTTCCTTCAAATGGCTCTAGAATGGTTTGCAATTTCCGAACACTTAGGGGCACCCCATTTTTGGGGCACTACATTAGGGTCCCCCATTTTCGGAAACTACCTCAACAGGTCCGGGGCCCATCCGTAGCAGGCTAGCCGTATGCCTCTTACAAAGCACTGTAGCTGTTCTAGGCCTGGACTGTTCAGCTTACCGCGATGGTGCCGCAGGCCGTCTCGTCGACGCTTCATCCTGCTCGGCAGTCCAGCGCGAGTGGTTGTCAAAATTATGGTCACTTTTTGGGTCCCAAATATGGTGCGGCACCTATTATTCAGGGTACCCAAATCGGAGGCCTCACGAGGTGGGATGAAGGTAGGTGGGATTAAGGATCCCTTATATAAGGACTCTTATTTGGGAATATCCCACCTACCTTCATCCTACCTTTTGAGGCCCCCGACCAAAAAGGGACCATAGTTTTCACAACTTCCCACGTGGAAGTTTGTTGTTGGAGGATGTGCTGAATCATGGTCTCCTGAAGTTTCAAGTCAATACGGCTGATGATGTAAATTCTGCATTACCCACAATAAGGGATCTATAGGGTTTTAGGGTTTAGGGGTTCGGGATGATATAAATCCTGCATCATCCATAGTCAGGAATATACCGTAATGCCCATGGTCCAGGGTCATGAAGGTTATGCAGGATGTATATCATCAATCGTACTCTAGCCGTCCAGGGCAGCTGCGGATAGATGCAGCTTGACCTGACAGCAATCCTCTGGGTTTTGCAAGGGTTCACAGTTCAGGGTTCACGGTTCAGGGTTTAGGTTTTAGAATAGGGTCATAGTGTTTGACAGAGTTTCTATCATTTAGACGAACCGGTCACGATGTTTCACCAAGCCATCTCCAGTATAATTTGGACAACAGCAGTAAATAAGCAACTCCGACAGGACACTTTTCGTCAGAAAATTGCCCGAGGATCAACACGCCCGCATGCTGTTTCAGCTGCACCATCTGCTGCCTCTGCTGTTGAAGCGTCATGCCTGGGAGTTTCGGGCAGTTTGATGCACTGGCAACAGCTCATGCCGTTGCGTGACGAGCTGTTTCGAGCTTACGGGGTTTGGTGGCATTTGCCCTAAGCCTTAAACCCAAAACCATTGTCATTATTATTTCTATTGTTGCTATTGCTATGTCATTTTGCTTGTTAGTGTAATTGGTGTTATCATTGCCAGTACTCAGTACTATTTTTGATACGATGGTTAATTACTATGACTGCGAGGATTATATGGAGGGCAGCGTCTGCCGAGTAGCTGAGAGCACACGCCTAGCGCGATAAAGTTTGGTGCCAGCAGATCTGCCATGTTGGCCAGGTCGCAGTTAGTGCTAAAGAGCCGACTTCTCAGTTAGAAACATGTTCCCAGCGCCGCGGCGGATGGACCAGAGCAGGACAGAATGCTGGGAGCTCACTCGGCTTTGAGCCATTGAGTTGCAGTTATCCGAGTCGTGCACCTTCCGGCACTCAAAGGTCTGGTGCTCGACCTCCGTTGCTGCCGGAGGACCTATCTTGAATGCTTGATTCTCCCACTGACCTATGTGTACGCACACAGAGATACATACTGACACTCATGCATGCATGCATACATAAATATTTGCACACTTACTTACCTGGCTACCTACCTACCTACATACATACATACATACATACACAGTGAAATGAAGAATTTGAATATTAGCGTTGTCGGTCTTCAAGTGCAGCAGCCTTCCATATGCGGCAGGGCATAAGCGGCCGATGCGGAGGAGCCGCCCACTGCGTCCTTCGCTGCGGTGGCGTTTCCCCCCGACGTCTCCGAGGTGCGGAGCTGATCATACTTGGGATATTTAGGGCTTGAGTTTTATGCAAGGGCTATATCAGTTTATTGATTAGCATGATCGTCGTCGCTGCCTTTGTCAATGTTCCCTTATCTTTTTTCTTTCAGCCCTCGCACTAACGACGTTTAGACGACAGTGCGAAAACCGTTAGCAGTTCGCATTAGTTCGTCGTCGATGCTTCAAGTCTACATCTTGATAGCCTCTTCCTTAGAGTCGAGGGGCGGGCATTGCGGTGAGCCTCATGCACTATGGAAGGCCCAAGCGACAGGCTCATCCGACAACCGGGGCCCTCAACCCAAAACCCTAAACCATAAATAGACCCTAAACCCTGTTAAGCTCTAAACACGTAGTGTGTATAGCAGTATCCTCATGACTCATGCCCTTAGCCGCAACCCCATGTGCCAACTGTCTGGTTTCACTTTACGTGCGCCTCCAAACCGATCGGAAACCTTACAGCCCGTGTAGAACCCTATAGAACCCCTGCATAACTTTCTGGAACCCTATAGAACTCGTACACAACCCTTGTAGAACCGCATAGAAGCCTTACAGAACTCGTGCGGAACCTTTTTTTAACTCGTACCATGAATCCTATCAGCAAGCACTTGCAGAGCATGCGACAGGCAGATGTGCTTCTGCGAGCCCTCGCGGAGAGGGGAGACGACGAGGTGGGGGGAAGGATGAAGGCAGAGCTTCGGGTTCAGCTTTGGAGGGGTGGTTTAGGGTTTAGGGTTTAGGGTTCAGGGTTTAGGGTTTCGTTCAGGGTTTAGGGTTTAGGGTCTAGGGTTTAGGGTTTAGGGTTCAGGGTTTAGGGTTTAGGGTTCAGGGTTCAGGGTTTAGGGTTTAGGGTTCAGGGTTTAGGGTTCAGGGTTTAGGGTTTAGGGTTTAGGGTTTAGGGTTTAGGGTTCAGGGTTTAGGGTTCAGGGTTTAGGGTTTAGGGTACAAGACGGCTTCTGCACAAGCACCTGGGTCTGTGCCAGCTTCGACGCAGCGCTTTCGGGCTGCTTTGCATGGCGATGTTTGCCCATGCAGGCAGTTCTTGTGCAGGCACGCAGCGTCAAGAGCCATCGACCTACATTTCTGAGCCCTAATTGTGGTTAGTATCTTGTATCTTGCATCTACCCTGTATGTACTGTGTTATAATATACTCGTATAGTACGTTATGGCAAGTTATTGTAGTAGAGTCTCATGCCGTAGTCATAGCCTCGCCCCTTAACCCTAAACCCCTAAACCCCTAAACCCTAAACACCCTAAACCCTAAAGCCCCATTGCGCTGCACTTCGACCCCAGATCCTTTTCTCAAGTCTGCATCTGGGTAGTTCTCCAAATTAGGGTCCCTTCTTAGGCTCCCAAGATAGTACGGCATCCGGATGAACAGGACCCCCAAAAGGGACCCTTAACTCTAAACCCTAAACCCTGAGCCTTAATGTCTAAACCCCCCAAAAGGGCCCTTCATTTCGAGAACTACCCTTCCTAAACCCTAAACCCCAAACGACACTAATCCCCAGAAGGGACCCAAATGGGAGTTTCCGAAAATTGGGGGTACCTTATTTCGGGTCCTTATATTAAGGATCCTACCATTTAGGGTACTTCATTAGGGTCCCCTATTTTCGGAAACTCCCAAAATTTGGAGAAATACCTCCACGTGGAGGCCTTCTCCTCTGCGAGCGGCGTCCTCTCTGGTGGCAGACTCAGCAAGTTGCCCCAAACCTTAAACCCTAAACCCTCAACGCCGAAACCCTAAACCAGAAATGCAAAACCCTAAACCGTGTAGAACATGAGCTGTGACCTCAAGTTCTCTGTCTCCTACTCTTACTCAGACTCCGCGACAGGCGCCTTAGCTCAAATCCCCGAAACTTACTTGGAGGTTCATGGGCAGTTTTAAGAAGGGTTATAAGTGGGGGTAACTATACTATAACCCATATTAGGGGACTTATAACCCTACTTATAACTACCCCTGAACCCCAAGCAGTATCCCTAGAGAAGTGCAGGGACACCTGGAAAGTCGGAACATGGGTTCAGGATGACGAGTGAGAATTTTCAGCACCGGGATTCCCCTACTGTAGGTCAAGGGCATCACAATCTTGATGTTCCAGCTGTCTGGCTTGTATTGTGGTTTCTTGTGCGAGCTTTTTCGGAGTCTTTTGGATTGGTGTTGCTGACTTGCCGTGCTTTCTTTTTCGAGGCTGGAGTGACTCCATCCTGGAGCTTGTGGCAGAGGCTGTCGGATGTCTTTATGATTAGACTGGGGTTTGGAGTGTTACGGGCATAGTTGTAAGTGGTACTGCAAGGAGATACGGTTGATCATATAGGTCCTGCATCACCCATAATAAGGAATATACCATAATTCCCATGGTTTAGGGTCCTCAAGGTAATGCAGGATTTATATCATCACCAGTATCATTCCCAAGTATGCAGACCCTTAGACGACATGCGTTCCGGCTCTACCCTTTGGACAGGTATTTTGATGGAGTGGGCCTTTGCGATTGGATCAGGCTCTCTACCCTAAACTCTAAACCCCTTAGTCCCTAAACCCCCACCCTTAAGACCTAACAGCCTAAACCCCTAAACCCTAAACCCCTAAACCCCTCAAGCTTAGACCCAAAGCCCTGAAACCTTGTACTACCCTTGTGGTAACCCTCATAGATCCCTCACAGTAACCGTTATAGATCCCTTAAAGGGATCCCTTCTTAAGCTTCAACCCAAGACCCACAAAACGCCTCGGAGGTCGCCCGTGGGCCAACTGCGGAGGCCCCGGTGGAGGAGGCTCCTTGGGTTTTGGGTCTAGGGTTTAGGGTTTAGGGTTTAGGGTTTAGTGTTCCTTATGGCAGCACTTTGAAGTAGCCCTTATGTTATAGACCCCTACTCTTATTGTATATTAAAGGCCCCTGTGTGTAGGGGTTTAGGAGCTTAGGGGTTTAGGGGTTTAGGAGTTTAGGGTTTGTTGTTGTCTTCGCTTTGGTCTTAGAATACATTTGGATCTGTTTCTGGAGAGCGGCACTTAAAGTGGGTGTTATCGCAGGGTTTGATAGGGATCTTGGACGTTTCGTCTATCTGGTTCAACAGCAAAGGTTTGTTGGGTACCCTAAATTTTAGGTGCCGTACTATATTAGGAACCCAAAAAAGGACCATAATTCTGACAACCACCCATATAGTCCGTATAGAATCCTCCGAGCACCCTGGACCCTAAACTCCAACCCCTGACAGCACCCTAAACGAGGTATGGCACTGGCTGGCGGCATCGGAGCGGCTTGCACGGGCGCTCTCCTTTGCACGAATCCCAGAATACGGTTGATGATATAAATCCTGCATTACCCATAATAAGGAATATCCCATATATAACTCCCATAGTCTAGGGTCCTTAAGGTACTGCAGGATTTATATCACCAACAGTATAGGATTAGGGGTTGGAGGGTGTCGTGGTCCAAAATTGGACTGGAGGCTTTCTTGGAGGGCTCTACAAGGGTACCATAAAGCGTTGTAAGTCTAGGGGAGGTGGGGTTCGAATGACTGCATTCAAGGGTCACGGTTTCGGTCCCGGGTTTTGAGGGCTTTCTAAACCCTAAGCCCTAAACCATAAACCCCAAACCGTAAACCGTTTAGACATGTCGCCTTGTTTGGCATAAGGCGAAAGCTGCTTGTAGCTTGATGCCCACCCTTATAGAAACCTGAATAGAAACCCTTATAGATCCGTCTTAGAGACCCTAGATTAGAGAACTACTCTTGTAAACCGCTCACAGTGGCTTAAGTGCCTCGACTGTGACGACACGAGCCATCTGCAAGCTTTACGGTCGAGGCTTTGGAGTCTCTTTTTTATAACATGTTGCATTTTTTCATTAAGGTAGATTGTCGTATGCCATTAGTATAATATAGAATATTTCAGGGTGTAGATGTTGGGATTGCATTTTTCCCGGCTCAGGTCGTCAAGAATTTAAGGCCAGCAAGGTTTAGTTGGTCTCGGTTGTTAGGGCTTGTAGGGATCAGGATGCAGCTTTTTTTGGGTTAATGGGTTTCCGGGTCAAGAGCGCCACGTTCGGGGAGGGGGGGGGTCTCTCGTCGTTTTCAAGCTCATAGTCTACGGTCCATCTTTGGCGGGGTGGGGAGTCGTGGAGGGTGCTTGGAGGTTCAGGGGTAGTTATAAGTAGGGTTATAAGTCCCCTAGTTTGGGTTATAAGTATAGTTACCCTACTTACAACCGTTCTTGTAACTACCCATGAACCTGCGAGTGGTCGATCGGCTTCTCTATTCCAGCAAGTGCCGAGGCCGACCACTTCTCCGTTGCCGGCTTGGCAGCGCGTGCATGGCTCAATGGAGTGCTCAATGGGAGCTTCCGAAAATTAGGGGTACCATATTTTGGGGTCCTGATAATAAGGATCCTACTATTTCGGGTACTATATTAGGGTCCCCCATTTTCGGAAACTACCAATCTTTAGAACTTACGGTTTGCAGTTTCGAGTTTAGGAGTTCGGGATGCCTTGCAGCACATTCCTCTTACAGCAGGCTTCAGATAAATTATGCTGAACATATGCTTATGCTCGTGGTCACTCGTGGTCTCAAGACTGTCGAACCTTAGACTCAAAACCAAGCATTCCCAGCATCGGTGTCCCTAAAAACCCAACCGGCGAGGTCTGGAGACACAGCAGGAAGCTGCCGGTGAAGCAGCCGAGAGGTGGTTGCCTGCGTTGCCTGTGATTCTGGCGGTCCAGGGCATTGTGCCATTCAGTTGGCGGCCCTGCGTAGATGCGGGGGTCGGGTTTGTGTTTGACGAAACAGAGCCCTGAAGTTCTCCGAGCACCTACCCAAGTAAACGGCAATGACATTGTGAGATTTTGTCATTAGTGTGGGGTTGGGTATCTAAGGGGCATGATGTGAGCCGGTTCTGGCGTATCGTTGATGCGTTCTCGTCTTTCCGGTGATGATGATGGCTTCAGTTATTTCATTCCTGCTGCTCTTATTGTAGCTTCTGCCCCACGCTAAATGCTCAAAGACCTGCACGTGCAGCCATCGGCTCTGGATCGGGGCTGCCATGGGTGGCCCCCAATGGCGGCTGCCAAAAAAGTTGCCGTAGAGCCTCGGCTTGCAGAAACAGTGGGTTCTCCAAGGGCTCGTCTTTAGACAGCAGAGTTCCTAACCCTGCACCCTTAACCCTAAACCCTAACTGAGACCCTGATCCTCAAAGAGAGGTGAGTTGAGAAAGGAAACGCCGTTGGCTGCAAAGCTCGAAACCCCTAAAGACCAGACTCAAGCCCAAGCTGAGCTGCCAACCTACCTACAGCCGCTCCAAGCTCGGGAGACAGGAGACAGACATAGGCCAGAAGCATGTCACAAATAGGGCTTGATGCCACTGTAGACTGTAGGCTAAAAAGATGGTCCTAGGGTTTTGAGGCCCTGGTCCAGTGTGAAATCCCAAGTGCCAAATCCGAGACCCCAAGCAAGGCTGAAACTTGAACACCAACCCCCCCAAACCGCAAACTTGCATCCTCAGCCCAAACAATATATGTCCGACCAAAACAGCCCTACGCCCCAAGACCTGAACCCTAATCCCTGAAGCCCTAAACCTTAAACCCCTAAACCCTGAACCCCTAAACCCTGAACCCCTAAATCCTAAACCCTAAACCCCTAAACCCCTAAACCCCTAAACCCCTAAACCCCTAAACCCCAAACCCTCAACCCTGAATCCTAAAGCGACTCAGATTCCTCCTCGTTTCGGAAGCCCTAAGGCGGCTTGGGCACATGGTGGCCAGCCGCGGAGCAAGGTCCGGAGCTCAACAGAGCAGAACATGACGGCTTAGGGTTTTGGGTTTGGGGTTTAGAGTGTAGGGTTTGGGGTTTAGGGTTTGGGATTTAGAGTTTGGGGTGTAGGAAGTATGGCGTAGAATGTATATCAGCATGTGGACTAGAGATATACTAGGTCGTAGAATACGACGAGGCCAATATCTAATATGATCTTGTGCTAAGCTTGGAACCGGAATTTGAAAAAGAGGCGACCGAGTTGGGCTTGACGGGCTTCAGGTTTAGGGCTTTAGGGGTTTACAGTGCAGGCTTTCGGGTTCAGGAGTTCAGAGTTTGAGGGTTCTGGGGTTCAGGGATGTTGAGCATTTCGTACGCAGGGATGAAGCTTTCCAGGCTTTCAGGGAAAGTTTCGGATTTGGATGGACGGCTGCCGGGCTTTGCAGGGTCTCGGCATCGGCGACGGACATGCCGACTGTCTGAACTGCAACGGCCAGACTGCGAGAAACAGATGCAAGAAGAGAAGCAGAAGCAACATGAGAACCAGAGACATGGGTAGTACGAGCGAGCCGCAAAGAGCCATCAACCTGCATCAACACTTATCGCAGAAAGCCGCCCATGACTCCCTGGTGCTTAGTAGGGAATGGGGGAACGGATCCTTATAGTAGTCCCTATATAATCCCCAATAGTAGTCCCCCCAATGTCCATTCCCCCCATTCCCTACGAAGAACCAGACAGATGAGCCATGCGGCTGGGGGTTTACCCGAAAACCTCAATCCCAAGTCCAAAACCTTATACCATAGTACCATATAGGGGCTACATTATTTTGGGGGTTCCTTATTATGATTATAGTATAATGGGCCCCAAAACCCTATTCTAAATTTTAAGGCCCCAATATTAAGCTCGCTGTTTTTGAGTGAAAATCGGGCTTTGAGGCAGCCCACAGCCCACAGTCCCGATAACATCCTCATAACTTACGCTGCCCTTGCACAAAGCCGTTATAAGCCCCGTGTAGACTGATCATGAGAGGCCCATGTTACTCCGTAAACCCTACATCCGTAACCCCTAAACCCCTTCCATCAACTTGTATACAGGAGCTCTTAGAAACCTCCAAGCCAGAAGCCCCCGGTTTCCAACCCGCCATTCCTGAGGGAATCCTGTTTAGTTCCTTGACAACGCCCTCCGAGCCCTAAGCCCCAAGTGGACGTGGACCTAAACCCGAAACCCCATGCCAAAGCCTCCCTGAGCCCCAACAGCCCTGAGGGCCCTAAACCCTAAACCTTAAGCCCGAAACCCTAAACCTCATAACCCTAAACCCTAAACCTTAAACCCCAAACGTAAACCCTGACCCCTAAACTTAAAACCCTAAATCTTAAACCCAAACCCAAAACCTTAAACCCCAAACGTAAACCCTAAACCTTAAACCCTAAAGCCTAAACCCTAAAACCCTAAACCCCCTAAAAAGGCTCCAGAATAGCGTGAACCTGCAAGCTGCCAGGCATATGCAGAAACGCGGCCGGCGGACTTCGGATCTTTCAAAGAGATCCCAGGCGAGAGGGGGCTTGGGCCAGGTTTAGGTTAGGGTTGAGGGTTTAGGGTTTGGGGTGTTTGGAGGTTGGGGTTTCGGAATTTAAGATTAGAGTTGAGGGTTTTTTGGGGCTGAGGGTTTCGGGGTTGAGGGTTCGAGGGTTTAGGCTTGACGAGGAGGAGGTGGGTTTTTTTTGGATGGAGAGGGCATGGGCTTGTGGGTGTCTGCGCGCGGACGCGGGAAATAGCACCATAGGTACCTGGGCAGTTATAAGTAGGGTTGTAAGTAGGGTAACTATACTTATAAGCCATATTAGGGGACTTATAGCCCTACTTATAACTACCCCTGAACCTCCAAGTAGGGGCCTTATTAACCATTTGTAACCTGTTCTGGCCGAGGCTTGCTAGAAGTTTCAGAGTTCCACGCGGTCGATGATATACATCCTGCATTACCTTAATGACGCTAGACTATGGGAAAAATGGTATATTCCTTACTATGGGTAATGCAGGAGTTATATCATCCCTAAACCCTAAACCCTAAAATTCCATAGATCCCTCAAAGGTATCCTTATAGATCCCTTTAAGGCTTGTTTTCTGCCGGAGGTCGTGAAGACCTGCTCCGCCTGATATGCGGCCGCAGCTGGACTGACATCTTGAACGCTAAGCCCTAGACCCTACGCTGTAACTCTGTCTCTTCCTCGTTTTTCTGTCCTTCTCCATCTACCTACCCCTCTCTCTCTCTCTGTTTATGTTTTCGAGCGCTCCCCAGACGAAGCTCTGTTTTGGAGTTCAGGGTTTATGGGTGCTGGACTTAAGGCTCGTGCTCTGCGGTTGTGGGCTTCGGATGGATCTAGTGTTTTGGATTTAGGCGTTTAGTGTTCTCGGGCTTCGGGCGAGGCTCAGGCATTTTTTCGCGGATGTGGGGGATGGCTAGCTCAGAGTTTAGGTAGGGTTTTGAGGACCCCTTGAGACACCTGTTACCATCATGCCCATCATCACCTTCAATCGTCGTTGTGGTCATCACCCTAAGCCCAGACCTAAACCCTTTATAGGAACCCGTATAGATCCCTTTAACGGAACCCTCATGGATCCCTTTGAAGGAATCCTTATGGATCCCTTGAAAGGAACCCTTGGTAGAAGTTCAGCAAGCAAGCCAAGGCCTGATGACCTCCGATTCTTGGCGTTTTCAAGGTGTGGGAGTTTTAGGTTCAAGCTTGGGCCTTAGGGGGTTTAGGGCTTAGAGGGTTTAGAGGGTTTGGGGTTTAGAGTTGAGAGGGTTTAGAGGGCTTAGGGTTGAGGGTTTAAGGGTCCAGGCTCGAACTTGGCGCTTCGAGGTTGTGGGGTTTGGGAGTTTGGGCTGCCCATTCCTTGAAGGCGACACAGACGCATCCGCCGAGAATGCATGCCACACCAAGTGCTCCTATGACCAAGGGGATGCTGAGGCTCAAGAGCTACAAGGTGTCGCTGATCCCAAGTCTTCATGTCATGTGTGAGAATTAGCCGGCTGCCCTCCGGCAAATCCAGCCCCCACCATTGATGAGCCAAAGCCTCTGACCCAAGGGCCTAAAGCCAACTCCCTAAACAAAGCAGCCCTAAACCCTAAACCCTAAACGCTAAACCCTCAAAAAATAGCCTAAACCCTAAACCCTCGAACGCCCTCGAGGCTGCCGTTATCCCCCATGATGGTGCCTGTTGTAATCGTATGGCTGATGATCTAAATCTTGCATTGCCCATAACAAGGAATATACCATAATTCCCGTAGTCTAGGGTCATGAAGGTAATGCAGGGTTTATATCATCAACCTAGTACCGTTCGGGAGCTCATTTTGATGATCAAGGCCCATCGATTCAGCCTGAAACCGTTGCTGCCTGCACCCTACCGCGGAGCTCAGGACGGACAAGACATACAGGATGACTACACCATTCCCATCGAAAAGAAGTTATGGGGCAAACCGCTGGACTCGATTCTCAGGCCGCTAGGATTTCAGGGTTCGCGCTTTGAGGCATTCGGGTCAAGTGTTTTTGGGAGATTTTGCGGGGATTAGGATTTGGCAGTTCCGCAAAGTAGCGCAGCTTTCGCCGTGGCTCTTACAGCCAGGATCCTGGTAGATTGGGGAATATTGGGATCCCTGACTTTCTGAAACTACCATCCATCCAACCGGAACTGTGGTTTCCCGGCTGCGATACCTAGCTGCCTTGATTTTTTGTTGGGACGTTCGAGTAAGCACTCCTCACCGAGAGCCAGCCGGAAGGATGGCAAACAAAAGCATCACTTTTCACGAGGGCGCTTGTCAGTCCGACTTGCAGGTTGTAAGTGTGATGAGGCCTTCAGTCGGGCTCGGGCTTTGACGACGCTTCGGGTTATCACCCGGGTTACTTTTGAGGTCCGGAATGCGGCAGGCTGCATACGAAGTAGCAATAGTGTCAGCAGCGGCCCCCGCAAGCCGTGTCAGTCGCAAGCCTTCAGGTCTACCTACTGCAAAGCGCGTGGGGTCTCCATGGAACCGGATGAGGTGCGGGCGTACGAAGTCGCAAAGACCGGGCTGGCAAGTTTTAAGCTGCTTCACAATGCAGGTTTTCGGGTTAAGGCCGCTTAGGGGTTAGGTTTAGGATGCTCGGGCTTAGGGTTCAGGATTTCAGGTCGTAACCCACATGCCAGGGAGCTTGCGATTCATCCTCGTCACATGTGTCACAGGACGCAGAGGGTTTAGCAAATGGGGTTGCAGAAGCTAGTCGAAATCGTCAGCGAGAAGCCTTCAAGACATGGCAGGAAGGTTACAGCCCGACCCCAAACCCCACATCCTGAACCCTAAACCCTGCATCCGAAATCCTGGACCTGAAGCCCAAAAACTCCAACCCTAAACTTAAACCCTACAACCTCAAACCTCAGCCCAAAACCTGTTGAAGACAACCCTTCAGCCCGAAGCCTTCAACTCCAAACCCGAAGCGCGATAGGTCTTAACCCAAATCGCAGCAGCTTTGACACCTTCGGTCCCCAAGCCCCTAACCCTACACCCTCAACCCTAGACCCTACCCATAGGCCCCAAAGTAGTTTCTTTTTGGGATTACCTTATAGAATTCTAAATATGAACCCCCAAAAGGAACTACTGTGGGGCCTTAGGGTAGACCCCATTACAGGGTGAGTTAAAAGTGTATAGGCACATGGGGCAGGTCCTCGAGCAAGCTGCCTCTAAACCCGAAAGGTCAAATTCTTGAACCCCGGATCCCGAAACCTAATGCCCGAGCCCGACCTTACACAGCATTCCCAGAGACTCCAATATCATTTAATTAAGGAATATCCCTTAAATTACATAAGGGATCCTACTGTAATTTAAGGAATATTCCTTAATTAAAGGATATTGGAGTCTCTGGGTTTTTTGGACCCCATAGTGCAGGGGCCGCATATTTCAGAACCCCAGATTTGTAGAAGCGACTCTTATCCAACCGAGATAGATCTTTTCAAGCCAAGCCTGGGCTTGATAGCTTGAGCAAGCCGCAGCAAGGCGGAGGTACGGGTGAAGTTTATGCTGCCCGAGGCGCCCCCCTTTGACTTTTTTTGGGGAGGGGTGGGTTTTGCAGGATTTAGGGTTTCAGTGTTTAGGGCTTTAGGGCTTTAGAGCTTGGGTTTAGGGCTTTGGTTCCAGGGTTCAGGGCTTTTGGATTTTAGGGTTTAGAGGTTTAGGGCTCTAGGGTTTAGAGTCTTGGGGGGTGTGCTTCTGGTACAAACAGGCTTGTGGGTTGAGATCCAGGGCATGGTTACGGGTTCTTGAGGGCTTCAGGGTTTCGGGCATTTAGGATTCTTTGGGCGTCTCCGGGTGTATTGTGGATTGTCGTACTTGAAGGCCTTAACTGACTTAGTCACTATAGCTAGGTTGTAATAAGGATAATCCCACATGGGGGACTTCAATTGTTTCACCCTACTTACTGTAACTCCTCTGCTTACTATACCTCCCCTGAGCCCTTAACTAAGCTTCACGGCGTTTTGTTGGGTTGCGGGCTGCTTTCTTCACTTGGAGGATCATGGGACTTAGTAAGTATGGCTATACGCGCGTTACTTGGGGTTTTAAGTAGCTACATGTCTAATTACCCTAAACAGTAACCCTCGTTCACTAAGTCCCATGATCCTTTAAGTACCCTATGCACCACCCTTATAGAAGCCATATTATAGATCCTTTTTGATTGAGGATGGCCTAAGTTACTCAGTCCCATGGTCCTTTCCTCAGCTTAGGGGTTTCGGGACTCTACGGCCCACCATTCCAGGGATGTTTTCCTGCGCCCTAAACTCTGAATGTGGAGCCCGGTTCTCGCCAAACGCCTTTGGTAGTTGTTCTAGTGTGGTTTTTCTTTCGGGCGTTCGTCTTTATTAGGGTTTGGGGGTTTTAGGGTTTAAGATTTCCAGCGTTTGGGGCTTTTTGGATTTGGGGTTCAGGGGCTTTAGGGTCTTGGGCTTGGTGCAGCCTTTCGACGCTTAAATTCGAGCCTAAGCCCTAAACCAAGAGCCAGAACCCTAAATCCTGAATCCTCCACTCCTCAACCTCCTCGCCTTAACCGTTGTTGTAGCTCTTATGCAATCCAATACAAACCCTGCCCCTTGATCCCCGCCTAAACTCCAAACCCTACTTCAAGAATCATGGAACTTAGTAACTAAGATTGGTATCCACTTATACCCCCCAATTTATGATACTTACAACCACACTTACTGATCCCCCAAGTAGACCCCAAACCCTAAACACTTATAGTAGAAGCAGCCCAAACTACCAGTGAAAACAAGCGCGTTAACCTTATAGCACCCTTATAGAGCTCCCCTCAAGCCACACTATGACTCCCTTAAAGCCCCAATATAGATCCCATAGATCCCTTAAAACCCTAGTCTAAATCCCTTCAAAGGATCTCTTTACACCCAAAGGGTCCTATGTACCGACATGGTAGAATGTAGGGTGTCCATATTAGTAATTACTGTTAGGACTTAGAAAAGTATCCCCCATAACGGTACATACGGTGGATGATACAAATCCTGCATTACCTTAAGGACCCTAAACTATGGGAATTATGGTATGTTCCTTATTATAGGTAATGCAGGGTTTATATCATCAACCGTATGATATAGGGAGCTGAAGTTTGATTTAGTAATCTTATCGCCATAGGGGTAGTTCTCTAAATCAGGGTCCCTTTTAGGGTCCTTAAGGTCATCAACCGTAGGACCCTTTGGGACAGCCAGCTCAAGTTTCGCCGCTGGTCGCAGGCCGGGGCAGGCCTGGGTTGGCTGGACACCTCCCTCTCTGTCAGGCAGCTGCAGTTGAAGGCCCCAACTTTAAGGGTCGGGGGTTGATGGGTTTAGGGAGGTTTAGGGTTCAGGGTTTAGGGTGAGGGGTCTGGGGTTGCGTTTCAGGGCTTGGGGGGAAGGGGCTTAGGCCCAATCTTTAAGGGTCGAGGGTTGATGGGTTTATATACTATATGGGCGTAAAAAATTACCAATACTATTTCGGGGGTTCCCTGTTCTACTTCTATTATAATGGGTCCTAAAAACCCTGTTTTTCTTATTAAGGCCCCTATATTAGGGATGTTCAGAGTTTAAAGTTCTGGGGTTGCGTTTCAGGGATTGGGGGTAAGGGGCTTAGGGCCTTACAGGTTCAGGGGCTTGGGATTTATTTAAAGGGTAAAAGGAGGGACCCCTGATAAGGACCCCTAGGTATATGCCCATAATATAGCCATTATGTACGCATTATATAGCCCATCATAGGGTAGGGGTCCCCATTAAGGGTCCCTCCTTTTCCCCTTGTGCCCCGGACGAACCTGAGCAGCGCTCGAGGGCTTCCGGTTTTTGAATTCTTTTGAGTTTTTTGGTAGGGGTTCGGGTTCAGGGTTTAGGGTTTAGGGTTAGGGTTTGGGGGCTTAGGGTGGCCTTGGTGTTGGCGACCGTTTGCCGTTTCGGGGTCCTTGGGCCTGTGTTCTCATGGTATTTTTGTCCCCATGCCCCTTGCTGAGTTTTTCCTTCCTGAACCGCCCTGAACCCCCCAAACCGTAAACCCCTGAACCTACCAGGACAGCGACATCGTCGAGGTCCTGGTCATCGACCGAGCGGCGCCTTTGCCAACCGAGGCGTCCGCCATCCTCACACGCAGCTGGGACTTAATGGTGTTCAGGTGTAAGATGTAGGGTGCCCGTCAGGTTAAGGATACTCTTGGGGTTGTTTGGGCCCGCTCCAGGACCTAAACCCAAAACCTGAAACAACACCATAATTTCCGAAACCCTTAACCCTAAACCTGAACACCATAGTTCCCAAAACCCTTAACCTAAGCCTAAACACCATACTCCCCAAAACCCTTAGCCACAAAACCTGAGCACCATAATCCCCAAAACCCCTAAATCAACCGTAAACCTCAACACCACACTTCCCAAAATCCTAGAACCTGACGCTTCCAGGCTGAAGCTGCAGACACAGAAAAGGCCGTTGCACCTTAAACAAAAAAGAACCTGACGCTTCCAGGTGCGGAAGCCTTGCAGCTTCTAGCGGCCGGTCGTCCGCAGAGCGTTACCGACGCCTGGCTGGCCAAGGCCCGGCCGCACAGCCATTGTCCGTGTTCCCCTCTGGTTTAGGGTGTAGGGTTCTAGGTCTAGGGTTTAGGGCTTATGGTTTAAGGTTTAGTATGTACCTGTTACCCCATATTAGTTTAGGTCATGACCCCCTTGTTTCGGGATATAACTCACCAAAACAGTAGGTCTTCAGGCGGGGACTAGGATTCCCCATGACGAATGACGCGCTCCCTTCACCCCAAACCCCAGATTTTAAACCCTAAACTTTAAACCCTAAACCCTAAAACTCAAACTCTGAAGAGTGTTTCTATTTTGGTTTTCGGCGTCTCATATGGGTAGCTCTCCAAAATTTAGGTCCCTCAAAATTGCACGGCACCCACATAAAAGGACCCTGAAAGGATTTTCTCCTTAGAGAACTACCTACATGGGTAGGTCTCTTCATTGGGGTCGCCTTTTGGGTATCCTAATCGTCCTAATCGTCGGAGTGAGACTCCCAAACGCGCCGAATTAAGGAAAACACGCTTGAACTGATGGTAGGAACCAGAATAAGATTTTAGGTCTATTTCTGATCTATAAGGGGCTTTGGAGTGTCCGGGTCCGTTGTTGGCTTTTAGCCGAAAAGGGGCCAGATACTCAATCAACTCGCTAGTCATCCCGAGATCAGACCAAAAAGCACCGGACCCTAATCCTTTATATGAGTATGAGATCCTTATTGTGTCGTTGAGTTGCATGAGTTTCCGAAATTGGGGTGGGGTTTTCGGCATTGAAGGTACGGGGTCCATTACTGGAAGCACGGATACCTTTCAGAGAACCCTGAAGCCTACCAGCCCGGACCACCAAGCCCGCTAATCCCCAACCCCAAACGATAGACATAAACCCTAGAGGCTGCATGGACTCTAAACCGGAAAAAACACCTGGTAGTTCAGGGGCTTAAACATGTTCTACTATCCCTTAGGGTTCCTTTATGTCTGTCAGTAGCGTTATCCACCCAAGCCCCTGTTTCAACATCCTTGTAGAACCCTTGAAGGCACCCGATTATTTCTGTTAAAAAAAACAATGCCCGAAGCTCAGACCCCTTCTACTAAGTCTCCCAGTTGGCACTTTTCCACTTTTTGTGGTCTTAGGTTCCTTATAGAACCCGAAACCAGAACTCTAAACCCCAAACCCTAAACCCTAAAGCTATTCAATAGGAAAAAGGGAGCCAGTGTTGTTCCAAGCTCACTGGGGAACCTCGTGTAGATTCTGCTGTAGATCCCAGGGACTCCAATATCCCTTAATTAAGGAATGTACCCTAAATCATGTTAGGGGTCCTACCATAACTTAAGGAATATTCCTTAAGTAAGGGATAATGGAGTCTCTGGAAGCTTGCCCTAAACCCTGGAACCCTAAACCCTAAATCCTAGATTGCCGTCAGCATGCAGGTCTGGTCTGTCCTTGCGAGGCCCTCTCCGGCCGTTTCGGAGTTCAGGGTTCGGGCGTTCAGGGTTTAGGGTTTAGGGTTTTGAGTTTTGGGTTTAGAGTTTAGGGTCTAGGGTTTAGGGTTTAGGGTGTAGGATTTAGGGTTCAGGGTTCCCTACATTTTGGGCTTAGGGGTTTGTTTTTACCTCTTCTGGGCCTTAGAGTTTGTCCTTTCTTTTTCGGCTTAGGCATTTGTCTTCCTTTTTGGTGCTTAGGCGTCTGTTCTTCCTCGTACTGGGTTAAGGTTAACACTACGCCTGGCCGTGTACTCGTTGAAATCCTCCTTTGCATCTCTTCGCTCCAGATCTGTTTGGCAATCGGTTGCTTTTGGGTGTCGGGGCTTAAACCCTAAACCCTAAACCCTAAACGGTGGAGCGCTCCCCAAACCTTGATCAACACGGGTGACGGTCAAATCCCCCAGCCCAGAGCCGCGCGCCAGGATTGAGGCTTTGAGTTTCCAGTCGAAGCTTTTGCAAAGTCCGAAGAACATGAACACCGCGACATATATAAACCCTAACGAGTCCTCGTTCCCATTGCTAAACCGAACCCAAAGGTCCACAACACCCACCCTAAACCCTAACAAAGAGCTACACCCCCACCCCCAAAACCCCTACACCCTAAACCCTGAACCCTAAACCCTAAACCCTCAACGCTAAACCGTGAAATGAACCCTAAACAAAACCCTCAAACCAGCAACCTGCCAGGTCCAATCTTGCTCCCCCCTCCCGGTGCCCGAAGAACTCCTGGAACCCTGAGAAACCCTAAACCCTGAAGACAACTCCCAGGTAAAGCTTGAACCCCCAAATCCTGAACCCCCAACCCTAACCCCCAAACCCTATACCCTAAACCCCTAAACCCCTGAACCCCAAACCCTTAAACCCACCCCAAACCCTGTCAGGTACGCAGAGGACGACCTCCTCGTAGGACCAGGGCTCGAGCTCTTGGCGGAAGCAGTCGGGGCCTGAGGGAGCCCGGGCTCGGGATTAGGGTTTAGGGGTTTAGGGTTTAGGGGTTTAAGGTCTTGGGTTTAGGGTTTAGGGTTTAGGTTTTTGAGGACTCTGTGGGGGTTCCCTTGGGGTTTTGGGGCCAACTGTGTTTAGACGTCAGGGTTCAGGGTTTTAGGATTTCGGGGTTTGGGGCTTTGGGGAAGGCTGAAAATCCTTGTAGTTATGGGTATAGTCCTGTTAATTACCTCAGTTACTATGTCCCATGCTCCTTAAACGGGTTAGTCCAGGCGGAGCGGAGGCGTCTGGGATGTAGGGTTTGATTGAGTCTTGGGTTGTGGTCTCATTACTAGTATTAAACTTGTTTTCATTTTTTGTAGGTATGGAAACTCTTACTGTTACGTACTACTACTGCTACTTTTATTATTGTTCTTCTCCTTGTTCGTAATGTTTCGGTTATGATTATGATTGATTGTTGCGATGTCTGTGCTTCGGTCTAATAATAGTGTCTGGGTCTAGGATTAAGCATGCACTTAACCCTGAGCTCACCTCCAGCCTTAAGCCCTAAACTTCCTAAACCTGTATAGTTAGCTCAGCTCAGGCTGGACAAAACCTGCTATCAGGCTAAACACAAGGTCTTGTGGCCAGTTTTGGGGTATTTGGTATAACGATGAGGGGTCCGTAAACCCTTCACAAGGATTGGCAACCTCTCTGATTTGGTTCAGTCCTGACTCATATCCAGCACCCACCCGAGTCCCTAATCTGCATTCATCTAGCATTCCTGATCCAAGATCCCTAACTTCACCCCCAATCCCAAACCCGAAATCCTAAACCCTAAATGAACCCTAAACTCCCTAAATCCCAAGCTCCAACCGTTAGCTGTTAACCTTGAGTACGAACTCCGGAGGTAGAGAAAGATGCTTCGCTGTGCACCAAAGTCTTCGATACGAAAGGCGGCTGCCTAATTCGGTGAAACCCTTGTTGGGTCCTTATTATATTACGGCACCTAATATTTCGGGTACCCAAAACGGGCCCATAATATTGACAACCACCCAATTGGGCTCCTTGAGGGTTTCACAGCGCTCTGAGGAGGCTTGAGGATTTTGGGTTTTGGGGATTTCGGCTTTCTGTAAGGGTTTTTCGGTTTAGGGTTTGAGGTTTTGGTGTCTCGGGTTCAGGGATTTTCGGGTTTCGGGTTTTTGAAGTGTCGCGGGTTTCGCAGTTCCAGATCGCAGGGGGCCTACGGTGGCTGATATAAATCCTGCATCACCTTAATGACCCTAGACTTTGGGAAATATGGTACATTCCTTATTATGGTACTTATATCATCAGCCGTAGAACCCAACACGCCCAAAGGCCCGTTGGAAGTGCTCAATCCGAAAAAGTTCAACTCGATGGCCAGAAAGCAAAGCGCTCTGGCCTGAAATCCGCAGTCTCCTGATGCGACGCCCGAAAGCCCAAAAGCCTACCTGCGATCCCCCCAAACCCCAAGCCATGAACCCTACAGTTACGAGTTAGGTGATCTGTTGAACTATGCATTCAACCTGGACCCTAAGCCTTACTAAATAGAATGTCCCACTTCAAATTAGAGTTCATAGTAGGGTCGGCTTGGGTCTAATTTCAGCTACCACAACCTGTGTTTTTGTAGGTGCTTATTATAGGACCCTACAACAAAGTTGGTCATGGTAGATTTGAAGGGATTCAGCCACGGGTCTCACCAGGCAACTCCTGCGACGTGCTGCGGCTTCTCTCGCGCCTGCTGGGTGCTTCTCAGCTGAAGCATCAGCACTTAGCGCCTAAGTCCGGAAGCGCTACAGCCTCCTAAGCCTCAAGCTCTAAACCTCAAACTCCGGGATCCTACTTCCCAAACCATGATAGGGATTCTATCCTCGATAATCTGTATTTCCTTATCATGGTAACTTACAGTACCCTACATCCTAAGCCGGAAACCCAGCACTTGGAGGATTTTCTTTGTGAGGTACTGCGTAGGTGGGCCTGAGGGTTTAGGGCTTCATAAAGGGCTCCTTTCAAGGGATCCATAAGGATTCCTTTAAAGGGATCCATAAGGGTTCCTTTAAAGGGATCCATAAGGGTTCCTTTAAAGGGATCCATAAGGGTTCCTATAAAGGGTTTAGGCTTTAGGGGTTTAGGGTTTCTGGGACTCTGGGTTCTGCGAGGGTCGACTCACAAGTTCTTCAGGGCTTCAGGGCACTTGGGGCTGTGGGGATTCTTCCTCTGCACTTGGGGCTGTGGGGATTCTGCCTGGTACAGAGGCCTCAAGCATCACATGGATTCCTTAGGGCTGCTTCTTTTTCTTCTTCTTATGCTTATATTATAACATACTTGTGTTGTTATTGTTACTATTACTGTTATCATTAATATACTACTTATGATTATAACATCCCCCAAAGTCCGACCAAGCCTGATTCTGAATGCCCCTGTATTACCGCTTCTGCTGAGCGAGCTGGCTATGTCGAAGCCCCCAGAAGAGCACGACGGTTGATGATGTAACTCCTGCATTACCTTAAATGACCCTAGACTATGGGAGTTATGTTGGGTACGGCCCCATTCAGTAATTGTTGAATAATATTCATAATATAGATAAATTAGGACCTTAATAGTAGCCCTATTATAGACTCTTACTGTATGGGGGCAGTACCTAAGAGTTATGGCATATTCCTCGTTAGGATTTAGATCATCAGCTGTATGTCGCAGAATGGGTGGAAGGCTGCCATTTGAAACCTTGGGGCTCAGGGTTTGCTTCCATTTGAGAGTCTAGAGATTTGGGCTTTAGGGTTTAGGGTTTAGGATTTAGGGTTTAGGGTTTAGGATGTAGGATTTAGGGTTTAGGGTTTAGTGGTAGGGTCCAGGGAATTGGGGTTCAGGGACTGGATCTCGAGGTAAACCTACATGGGAGTTTCAGAAAAATTAGCGGTACCTTATTGTCTGGTCCTTGTAATAAGGATCCTACTATTTCGGGTACTATATTAGGGTCCCCTATTTTTGGAAACTCCCACATCACCGGTGTTTCGGAATCAGGAGCTGCACAGTGTGAACCAACGGGTGCAGACGGCTGGCTGGCGCTTGATGATCAAGGACACGTTTTTTGGTTTAGCGTTGCATTAGGATTCATTGCTTGTGTTTCAGGGTTGAGGGTGTTCAGTTTGCGCTGAATTTTGTTGAGGATCCCCGAAAGAAAACACAAGGGCAACCCTATGACCGGATTGTAGATGTTAAGCGTGCCACTTACTACTTGGAGGATCATGGGACTTAGTAAGTATGGTTATAAGTACCCTAATTGGCGTGATAAGCAGTTATAAGTATAGTTCCCTAATAATAACCTTAGTTGCTAAGTCCTATGATCCTTTAAGTAGTCCATAAAGGAGAGCTCAGCAGGAAGACCGAACAAGCAGACAGGCGGCTGCCTGTTGCTATGCCCTAAATGGGCACCGAGCAAGGACCGTTTGTGGTTTGGGTTCAGCGTTTTCGATATGGGGCAGTTTGGGGTGGACGCTTAGGCCCTAGTATTTAGGCTAAGACTGCAAAGCCCCGTAAACTTCAAACCCCCTTAACCCCAATATCCAAAAAGAGGGGTGTGGTGCCCTGCAACAATTGCGAACTGACAAAGCCCACTTGGGAGTTTCCGAAAATTAGGGTACCTTATTTTGGGGGTCCGTATGATAAGGATCCTACTATTTAGGGTACTGAATTGGGGTCCCCTATTTTCGGAAACTCCCACTTCAACCCTGAGCTTCAAAAGATTCTAAAAAGCCTCAAACCCCTGAGCCGCCCGCACCCTGAGCCCTCAAGCTCGACGTCCTGCAGCGTCGAAACTTCGCACCGACATCCGAATCCCTAAACCAGCCTAAACCCTAATCCCTGAACCCTAATCCCTAATCCCAAGCCCTAAATCATAAAACCTCCGCCTTTGAACTGTCAGGGAGCCGAGGATGCGACCCTCCGCGCTCGCCTGGGTCGCAGCGGGAAGGCTCTGCTGCTGGGTTGTTAGGGTTTGGGGGTTTAGGGTTTAGGGTTGAGGGGTTTAGGGTTTAGGGTACTTGGGTCGGAAGAATCAATAACAGTATGCCGTTACAGCTCCATACATATGTATATATATATATATGTATATATATATACATATAAAAATACATATGTAGTTACTAATATGATACAGACTGTCCTGTACCCCAAAACCCTTTGTAGTGTGGGGTGGCACAAGGAAAGAGCGAAGGCATAGGGACCGTCGCAGTGTGGTTGGGACGCAGATTTTGGGATTTAGTCTTAAGGTTTAGGGGTCGGGTTTGGGGGTTTTGGAACTGGTCCCCAAACCCGAAACCTTAAAACCCCCCTGAGTAACGCCCAAACCCCTAAGCCCTAAACCCTAAACCCTAAACCCTAAACCCTAAACCCTAAAACCCCAAACCCCAAACCCTAAACCCTAAACCCTAAACCCTAAACCCTAAAGCCCCAAAGCCACGAAAGGCCGTGGCCTTGAAGATCCAGCGCCGGGGCGATGCCGTCTCCGCCACGCGCCGGGGCTGCACATTTTGGGACTCTTCGGGCTGGCAGGGCCCCTAAGCCCGAAGGCTCTCTAAACTCTACTAGGGTTTAGGGTTTAGGGTTTAGGGCCCAGATTAAACCCTAAAGCCACAAGCCTGAAAATTCTGAAGCCGAACATCAAAAAACCTAAGAGTTCTTAGACGCGATCCCAACCCTAAACCCTAAACCGTGCCTCGGACGAGGCAGCTCACCCGCTTCCTCGACCTTGTGGGCGGTGCGAAGCCAAAAGCCCCCGAGCAGAAGGAGGCTGGGGTTCAGAGTTTAGGGTTCAGGGTTTAGGGTTTAGGGTTTAGAGTTTAGGGTTTAGGGTTTAGAGCTTAGGGTTTTAGGGTTTAGAGTTTAGGGGTTGGGGTTAAGGGTTTAGTCTCGGCTCTAAGGCTTTAAGGACACATTCGTTTTGCAAGGCTGGTTTTCGGGTTGTTATAAGGGCTTTAGTATGGTGTCATCGGGGTCTTTAAGGGTGTGTAGTGTTCACTGTCCCTGAGTTCCTTTGTAGCAACAGTGGTTGTAGGCTCTGGTCTTTGGTCGGCTTCGGGAACACCCTAAACCCTGAACCCTCAGGCCCTAGACGTTAAAACCCCAAAAGAGAACCCTTCAAACCCTTATGGAGTCATAGAGCCCTAAACCCTGAACACTGCTCTACACCCCTTGAAAACCCCCAATGGAGGGCCCCTTAACACTTATGGACTCCTCACCTTACGAGCTCTCTTACCGTCCCTTACCCGGTAGAAGAGCCTCAGGGCGTGATGGTCGTCGCGCCTGCTGGCGGCTACAAGGCTGCCCAGGCTGGCGCTCAGTTTAGGTTTCGTGACAAGCCGACAATGGCGGTGGATTAGGGTTTGGGGTTTAGAGTTTAGGGTTGAGGGTTACAGATTTTTCAATTTGTTTTTGCTTTGTTGTCTTTTTGGTGCATGTGTCTTATGTGTTGCACGTCTGCGTCCAGTTGGCCCGCGTTGCCTAGAAACTTTGGAGCTAGCATACGTCGTGCCCAATCCTGAATGCTTAGACCCTACTTATCTTCGACGCCAAACCCGAAACCCTAAGCCCGCAATACCCTAAATTGACAGACATCCCAAACCCTAAATCCTAAACCCAAAACCGTACACGTGCACACCTCTAAAGAGGTGGACCTTCATGCAGTTGAAAGGTCTTTCGCGCTGGGGTTCGTGGGTAAGCGTCTTATGTAGGGTTCACTTGAAGGCTTTACACGGTTTTTGGGGTTTTTGGGCTAAGGGTACCTTATAGGAACCCCCATTAAGGGATCTACTTTTTTGGATCCTCCCGGGGGTCTTATGTAGGGTTCACTTGAAGGTTTTACACGGTTTTTGGGGTTTAGGGGTTTAGGTTCGCTTCAGGGTTCAATAAAGGATCGTTTCAGGGTTCTCTAAGTGTTCCTTTAGGGCTTGTTCTATGGATTCCTGTAAGGGTGCTATTCTATAGTATTCGTGTATAGGGTTTGCGACTTTGGGCTTCGGGTTTAGGGTTTGGGGTCCTCCCCCCTCAGCCATTCAAAGGGGAGGACCCTTAATGGGGACCCCTACCCTATAATGGGCTATATAATGGGTATAATGGCTATATTAAGGGCATTTACCTAGGGGTCCTTATTGAGGGTCCCTCCGTTTACCCTTGGAGCCATGAACTCGCTTCCACCCGAAATCCTCCGACTCTTGTGAAGGCCCAAACCCTAACCTAAACCACTTTGCCCCTTAGGGTTCTTACATCCCTAAACCCTAAACCTTCAACCCTAAACCATAAACCCTAAGCCCTAAACCCCAGGCCCTAAACCTTCACAGAAAAGGGCCCCCTAAACAAAAACGAGCGTAACCTTCACGAGAAGCAGGACTTTGCTGCTCGCGCAGCCGAGCGATGGCAGGAGGAGCCACGGTGTCGGTGCTGTGCTTTTGTCAGGGTGTAGGGATTTGGGGTTTAGGATTTAGGGTTTAGTGTTTAAGGTTTGGGGGTTTGCGAGCTTAGGGGTTTAGGGTTTGGGGGTTTAGGGTTTAGGGGTTTGTTTAGGGGTTTAGGTTTAGGGTTCAGGGATTGATTTAGATGTAGTGTCTTTGCGTGCTCGGGTCTGGAGCTTTTGTGTCTAGGCGGGTACTTCTTGGAGGTTCAGGGGTAGTTATAAGGGTTCCGTTAAGGGTCCCTTTAAAGAGATCTATAGGGATTCTTTCAGGGTATAGGGTTTAGGGCTCAGGGTAGTTATAAGTAGGGTAAAAAGTCCCCTCATATGGGTTATAAGTATAGTTACCCCTACTTATAACCCTACTCATAACTACCCATGAACCTCCAAGTAATCCCTATACCCTTATAGAACCCCTAGAGATCCCCTTAAAGGAACCCTTAAAGGAACCCTTATATAGAACTACCCATGAACCTCCAAGTAGTGCTGGGTCAGGGGCTAAGAACTGGGAGCTCACGGACAGGATCTTGGGGCTGCTTTTCCTCCGGGCGTTTGGCGGTTGGGTTTGGAGGGTTTCGCGTTTGAGGTTTGGGGGCTCGGGGTTGCAAGTTTCGGGAGCCTCAAAAGGTAGGATGAAGGTAGGTGGGATATTCCCAAATAATAGTCCTTATATAAGGGATCCTTAATCCCACCTACCTTCATCCCACCTTGTGAGGCCTCCGAAAGTTGAGGCTTTGGGTTTGGGGTTTGATCTTGGTACACCTGTCCATCTGTGTTGGTTGGCTGTTGAGGTTTGGGACTTTTTCCGGGCATGAGGTCTGTGGCTGCAGTTCCTCTACTTGCGACTGGAGGGCGTTCGTTGACATTCCCAATTACTCTATGCTGGTACCTGAACTTCGGTTTCCCGTTTGTAAAGTTGTAATCATGGCTATGGTTTCAGGATTCCAAGCAGACAGGGAGTAACACACGTCAGTTTGTTCGTGGATGCGCCGCGCGAGGTGCGAACCGGAGCCGCCAAATCCTAAACCTACAAAAGCACCCCAAACCTTAAACCCTAAACCCTAGCCCAGCTCTGAAAGCTTACGCCGCTGGCCTGTAAGACAGATTAAATCACCGAAATCTCAGGCCTGTAAGCCAGATTTAACACCATCAACGAAGCCCCACTTCCCCCAAGCAACCCTATTCTAGGACCACCTATATGGGAGTTTCCGAACATAGGGGACCCTAGTACAGTACCCTAAATAGTAGGATCCTTATAAAAGGGACCCCCAAAATATGGTTCCCCTAATATTCGGAAACTCCCATATAGCCCCTGGGCTACCCATCGGAGGAATCAACTGCTGCTTCGGTGCGCCTGGAGCGGGCCATTCATCAGGCAAGGGCAAGGGAACCTGGAAGTGACAACCAACTGTAAGCACGAAGCAGTTTAAGTGGTTGCGTTGTCGTTGTCTCCCTGCTTCTCTAGACCCTAAACCCTTCATCACAATTTCATGTCTTCTAGACTCGGCAGTAGCTCTGTACCAGTACAGCTATTGCAAGCCATCGTGCTGCTGTGTCTTCTTGGTCTGTTACGACAGGTTCCTTTGAACTCTAAACGCTAAATCCTAAACCCTAAACCCAGGGGTTGGAGACCATGGGTTTAGGATCGAGGACTCAGGGTTTGGGTTCAGGATATGAGGCTGAAGGCCTTTGTAGGAGTGTGCTCCATGGTTTTGGGAGGTTTGGGCATGTTGTCGCGAGGGCCTAGGGTCCTGAAGCCCGCGTGATGGGAGACAACAAGGAATTCTAGTTAGTAGAAACCCCAAACCCTAAACTATAAGCCCTAAACCCCAGCCGAGTCGTGTTGAAAAGATCTCGGCTTCACGCGTGGGAAGTGGTGGATGCTGCGATTGTCGAGCTCCAGAGGTTTTTTTGGGGAGTTTCAGAAATTCGGGAACCCCGATAAAGGCTTCAGGTGGTGGGTCCTTCCTCTGAGATGAGCCAGATTACGAAGCCCCAAACCCTCTTAACCCTAAACCCTAAACCTTGGACCCTCTTAATTTTGAGCCTTGAACCCCAAACCTTCTCTTGAACTTTAGCCCTAAATCCCGGACTCTTTGAGCTTAAGGGGGTCCGGGTTTTAGATTTTAGATTTCAAAAGGGTTGGGACTCGTAACCCAACTCACACCCTTGCCCCTAAACCCTAAACCCTAAACCCCTAAACCCTAAACCCCTAAACCCTAATCCCTAAACCCTAAACCCTGAACCCCTAAACCCTAAATCCCTAAACCCCTAAACCCCTAATCCCTAAACCCTAAACGCAAGAGCCCTTCAATGCTTCCCACTTCAGAGGACGAGCCCATGGAGATCGAGCCTCCCGGCACTGCTTCCCAACGACCCCTTATGCGGGATCCCGGGGGTTCCTTTAGGGGTTCCTTTAAGGGATCCTAGAGGTTCCTTTAGGGGATCCATAGGGGTTCCTTTAAGGGGATCCATAGTAGGGGTTGCTTTAAAAGGGGTTCCTTTGGGGGATCCGTAATAGGGGTTGCTTTAAGGGATCCATAGTAGGGGTTTCGAAAAGGGATCCTTAGTAGGGGTTTCTATAAGGGATCCATAGTAGGGGTTGCTTTTAGGGATCCATAAAGGTTCCTAGACAGGCCACAGTCTATTTCACGTGAAAAAGACGACAACCTAGTTAAAAAACCCGTGATCCTATGGATAAACTATAAAAAAAGATCAGATCCACAGGGTTTACATTGCCGGCTTCTTGCTCTGCTTACTTCTTCTTTCGCCTATGTGCTGTTGTGATGTTCTAGCACTGTTCCCCCTATGGTGTCGACTGTAGCTTCGCAGAAGAGCCGGAAGAGCTAACATAGGGGCCTAAGAAATTGCCAATACTGTTTTGGCGTTCCTAATTTTAATTATGGTCAAATGGCCCCCAGAGCCCTATTCTAATTATTGGGGCCCCAAAAAATTACGTTCTGACGATGTTGCGCCAAATCCTACACCCAGACCCCCGGGAAACCCCCATTAAGGGATCCACTTTTTGGATCCTCCCGGGCGTCTCGGTATGAGTTTCAGAAGAAGGGGACCCACCTGCAGGGTTTCTTTTAAAGGGATCCTAAAAGTCCTACAAAGAGCAGCCCTTCGCGGGAAGACCCAGGGTCCGAACCCCCCCCCCCCCCCCCCGAAAAGCTGTCTGGTTCTTAGTAGGGAATGGGGGAATGGGTTATGGAGACTACTATTGGGGACTATATGGGGGTTTCCGAAAATTAGGGGTACCTTACTTTGGGGCCCTTATAGCAAGGATCCTACTATTTAGGGTACTATAGGGTCCCCCATTTTCGGAAACTCCCATATAGGGCCTACCATAGGGATCCATTCCCCCATTCCCTACTAAGCACCAGGGAGAAAGGCCCAGCTCCAGCTTCAACCCGAGGCCTTTTTTCATACGGATGATCCAAAATCTTGCATTACCTTAAGGACCCTAGACTACGGGAATTATGGTAGATTCCTTATTGTGGGTAATGCAGGATTTATATCACCAGCCATAGTTGGGTGACATTTTACATGCTTACGGGTACTTAAACCCAAGAAGGAATAGAAATGGCAACCTTTTCATGCTCTCCCAGCCGTGGACTAGAAACCCTAAACTCCTTAAATCCTATCCAAGGAAGGCACTGCACAATCTGATCTCCAAGATGCGGCGCCGGGGGACTCAGAATTAGGCTTGAGGAAGTCTCATTGCTTTCGAGGCGGCGGAAAAAGGCTTCCAAAAAGGCATCCAGGAGTTCGTCTTGCTTTCGAAATTGGTTTTGGGTCTCCGTAAGCGCTGAATGTTTGAGGCTTGAGGGTTTGGGAGGGTCTGAGGTTTGCAAAGCAAAAGCCGGCAGCCCAGGGCTGTAAAACCTCATTTCCGAAGCCCAGTAGATCCGGAAGCCGACCCTGGGTTCTCCCACATGCCAGGTAACGACCCTGAACGAAGCCCTCTTCAAACGCCTGCAGGGGGGGTAGGATTTGAAGGGTTTAGGATACTAAGGGTTTAGGATTTTAAGGGTTTAGGATCTTCAGCGTCTAGGATCCTAAGGGTTTAGGACCCTAAGGGTTTAGGATTTTGAAGGTTTTGGTTCTTAGCCCCAACGTCCGCGAACCCTCAACTCTGAACTCCTCCAAACCCTAAGCCCCAAACCCTGTACTGTAGTCCGGCGAGGTAAAGCCCAACTTGAGGCACTTACAACCCCACTTGTGTTTAAACTCTACGAGTTGTAGGGTTTATTGTTTAGGGTCCTAAACCCTAAACCCTCAAGACCTAGTCTGCAGTCGGACAAAAGGAGCTTTAAAACAAAAGCCTTTGAGGGTTTACGTATAGTGCGGCGAGATAAAGTCTACTAGTTCTAGGGTTTAGGGTTTAGGATCCTAAACCCTAAACCCTAAACCGTGGACCCTAAACCCTAAACCCTTGAGGTAAAGACGTGAACTGGCGCAGTGTGGAGGAGGCCGGCGTCGGCCAGCTGCTCCGCCCTTCGGCGTACTCCAAGCAAGTGGGTGTTTCTCAGTTTTCTGTTGTTTTTTCTTTTAAATTTTGTGGGGCGGGCTTCATTGGGGGTTCATGGGTTCTATAGTTTCATTTAAATTTTATGGCGGGTTTCATTGGGTGTTTATGGTGCTACCGATGGGGTTTCGCCAGGGCTTTTGTAGGGGTTCGAGAGGGTGTTGTTTAGGCTGTTCCTTTAAACAAGGTGTTGTGCAGAGTAATTTTTTCGGAGCCTGAGACCATCTAGGTCTTATCACATCAGGGCTTTTGGTATCGATGTGGTCGCTTAGGGTTTAGATCCAAAGCTGAAGCTGGCTTGAGGTCTAGGGTTCAGGGTTTAGGTTCCGTTTTGGGACAGGGTTGGTTTTTGCAATCTTGGCTTTCAGTTTACTTTCTTAGGTCGAGTTTTGATGCTTTCAAGCCTTCGCTACTTTTCGGGGTAACGGCTTTTTTTGGGAGGTCAGGGCTTGCTCCTGGAGTTTCGCCTGCAGCTCATGATCATTATTGCGCTCCTAGCGTTCTGGTTCATTAATTAGTGTCGCACTGATGGATCCTGGACATGATACCCAGCGATGCTGGACTATTGCGTTATCCTTGACTGAACCCTAAATACCCTAAGCCCTGAAGTAGAAATCTGAAAACCCGAAATCCGGAACCAGAAATCCCCAAACCCTGGGTACTGGACGCACCTTGTAACAGTTGGTCATACTGTAATATACTTGCTATAGCACTTAGTTTGACCCCTACTGATTCTGATTCTGATTGCGGACAGTCGGTCTTCAGGCCACGTGTTGTGGCACTGGGAAGCGCGTCCCAAAACTACGTGCTAAATTCTTGGTGAAACATGTTGGATGGCTTCCTATGCCAGAAAGGAGTCGTAGTGTGCTTGGGGCCTTCACAGCTTCGAGCTTGTAGATAACACCGCACCCCGTCGATGTCAACAGCACAGGGTGTGAAGGGGCGCCGCAGCGACGCTACGAGATCACTTTCGTCCTCGATTGGCTGAAGACGTTCTTCGCCAGTAGGAAGTCTGGGGCCCAAAACGACGGGCACTCTGCGCGAGCGACCTTTGGCTTGATAATGTTTCCATTGTCCCTTGCGCACACTCGTTGTCCTCTTTTCTACGGTGCTCTCCAGGCCACGGATTTCCTCCAGGGTCAGAGGCCGATAGAGGCTAGCGCAACGGAGGAGGCCTTGGGGGAAGCGTTTGAGGTGCAACTGTGAGGAGACAATATCTGGAAAGAGCTTATTACAAGCCTGACGACACATATGCGAGATGGCATAATGGCGAGCTGGGCTGAAAACGCGGTGCGCTCGCGCCAAATGCGCATGAAGGTGCTTGCGGAGGGCAAAAGAGCTGTCGCAGAGGGTGCAGGCATAGGCACCAATGGTCTGCGTGGGGCCTTGTGTGGCGGAAGCACGGGTCTTGCGGAGGTCGTGCCAAAGCTCGAGGTCGTGTAGAAAGGCTTTTTGGGCTGCCTTAATCTGCTTGGGCCACCACATAACATCTGCGGCGTAGGCTTCGAGAATGCCTTGCACGACGGCGGAGGCGTACCTAGCAGGTCTGTGATCTGCGGAAGATATGTGGCCACGGCGCTGGCATCGTCCCTGAGCTGCCCAAGCCATGCGCGGTCAGGGGCTAAGCGCCATTGATCCCAAAGAAATGCCAAGAGAGGGGCCGGGCCGTGTTGGAAAATCTTCTGGAGACATGTGGCACGTGCATGGGCTAGTGCGAGCGGGGGAGACGGTGCTTGGGCACTGCGCAGGACCGCATAAGAGTGGGCCTGTGTGTCAACCGCTGTTCGCGCGACCAGTACGCGCCAAAGTGCCAGGTACTGTCGTTCCCAAAGGCGTCGGTGTACGCCAAAGGGAAGTAGTAATGCTGCCGCTGTGTGGGTGTATTTGGATACAGCCAAGGCGCGGAGTAGATTACGTCGAACTGGAAGGTCGAAGCGTAAGGCCCCAAAAAGCTGCCGGCGCAGAGGCTTGATAGTGCCCATGCTTTGTGAGAACCGGAAATACAAGTCCGGACATGGGTTGGAATCCGATGTGATGATTCCCCCAAGGTGGCGGTATGAGTGAACCGCAGGAAGGAAGTGGGTGGCACGGGTGGCTGGGTCGGTGAAGAGGACCCCTGGGGCACCTTGCTGGTCGGAGTCGAGGCAGGCGGTATGTCGGGTCAGGAGTTCCGCTGGAAAAAGAGCTGCTGTCTTTTCAACTCCGAACTTGACATCCATGCCGAAGGAGGAGGCGTGGGATGTGAGAGTGGTGACAGCACCCCGAACCCTGTCGACAAGAAGAGGGAAGGTGTCGCCTGTCTGTGGGCAAAAGAAGTCGTCGGCCCAGGCGGGGCACTGCAGGTCGACTGGGCCAGTGTGGGAGCAAAAGTCTGGTCGCTTCCCTCCGGTGGGCAGCTCTGCTGCATAGCCTTGGGCATGCAGGGCGGCAAGCGCTGATCGAAAATAGGCCGAGAGAACATAAGCAAACAGAAGGTCTGCAGCTGGGTCACCCGGTCGTGTGCCCCGGCGGGTTAGGGTGAGATCGGCACAAGAGGAAAGGCGGAAGTAAGTACCTTGAAACATGTCACGGACAAGGGCCCGGGTGTGTGATGGCACTTGAGCTGCCTCCAGTAGGGGGGTGTTGCCGAGTTGATCCTGGAGACGACCAAGTGTTTCTTCTGGTAGTTCCAGGCGTCGAAACAGAGCTTCTAGGCCAGCAGGGCCTGTGAGCTCATCTATCAAAAGTTCGCGCAAAACTTGATAGAAGGCTGCACGCAAATCAAAAAAGATGATAGCCCCATGGCGGCCGGACTGATTGCAGACTTGGAAGAATGCTTTGGCTGCCACAGATACCAGCTCTATGCCCTGGCCACGAGTAATGCCGCCATGCAGGGGAGCGCGGTTGGTCTCGAATGCCTCCAAGAGCTGCTGGCGGATGCAGCGGTGATATACCTTGGCAACCACGGACGAAATAAGGATAGAGCGGTAGCCGTCACATCCGAGTACTCCTGCAGCCCTTTTGGCCAGGAGGAATAGGTCGCCTCCTCTGAAGGAGACGGGTTCGGAAGCCCGTAATGAAGATTTTGCCAGAAGTGGCAACAACTGTCTGGCTGTAAGCGGCACGTCAGCCCTGAGGAGTTCGCCTGTGACCAAGTCTGCTCCGGCCGCCTTGCGGCGATGGAGGGAGTGTATGATCTGTTCGATCTGGTCGAGGGAGGGAACTGCCTGGATGTCGAAAGTCCAAGAACCGGCAGCTGGGACGGCTGCAAGGTGTTGACAATATTCGTCCTCTGTGACGGCTGTGCCTGCTTCTTGTTGGGCGAAATGTTGCCGCCAGCCTTCGCACCTGTCGGCGTATGTAGCAGCGTTGGAGCCGTCGGCCAGTCGGAGGGATGGCAGCGGCTTAAAGGTGCTGCGCCTGGATGGTCGTGTAGCCGGAAAGGCTTTGCGCAGCGCTTGGTACAGGGCAGTCGGGTCCTTGAGGTCATGGGTAGCTGCTTGCTGTGCTAGACTGTCGAGGTATGCTTGGCGGTCTCCTTGAATCCGTCGGCGGATAGTGCGGGTAGACTGGTAGAGTGCAGCGAGGGCTCTAGCTTCGCTGATATCCAGCTGTTGGAACCAATCTGCAATAACCCTGCCTGCGCGTTGTGTGAAGGACGTACCTGCACGGAGATGCCTGCACGCTGCAAAGGAAACCAGTTTAAGGCGGCGCCGCCTTTCCTGGGCTTCCTGAGAAAGGTAGGTACGCAGGGCTTGACGAAGTCGAATGACTTCGAGCGTGTCGTCCGTTATGAAGGACTGTGTTTTGGGAGGCGGTGGGTTGTTCTGAACTGGCACGGTCTGTGCCCAACTGGAGGTGAGTGCAACATGGTGGCGACTAGAATCCAGGTGCCATGGAAAGGCTGGAATCTGCGAAAACCGTTGTCGTACATCCCGACGCTGGGCTGCTGTGGCTGGCATCGTAGGACGGACGGCCACACGTCTGTTGACGTGATAGACGTCTGCCGCCTCCAGTCGAGCGAAATTGCTCTGCAAGAGCAAGGGCACATGGTCAGTACGCTGTTGCAGGGCCTCGACATCATATAAGACCTGGGTGGCAAGGTCAAAATGTCGCCAGGTGAGGGGCACGAGTATGAAATCCAGCCGGGACCAATGGCCGGTGGGAGAGCACCAGGTGCCGCCTGGCCCATGATGGCAATCTTCGTGAGTGGATGGAACCAGGGCTTGTACTTGCAGCACAAAGTCATGGAACAGAGCTCCTGCGTCATTCTCGTCCTCTGCCTGATGTGCCCCAATATTATCTGTAGGGACTGATCCAACTCGAGAGTTGGAGTCGCAGAACAGTAGGAAGTCTGCTCCTTCGGGGCGACCTTGTAACTCAGCTGCACGCTTACTCCAGAAGGCCCGAATCTCCTGGAGACTGACATTATGAGCTGAGGGAGCATGTATGACTTGCAAGTGCAGCTTCAGGCGGGGCGCCAAAATATTGGCTGTCATGTGGCGAGAAGAGGAGCTGACGACCGTGAGGTGGCTCTCTTTGAAATAGTGTTGACCTGCATGGTCGTGTCCATAGGACTGGTGTCGGGAGAGCCAAATCGCGCAACCGCCTGCACCGTGCTCGTCGGCGGCGGCATTGTAGATGTAGTAGTCTGGGTCTGACTGCTGTTCAGATTGGGGCAACCTGGTCTCCTGGAGCCCAACGATATGGATTTTGTGGGGCGCCAGGGAGCGCTTGAGCACCTCCTTGCGACCCATAAGCCTCATGCCTGTCTGCGTGCTGCCTCTGGGGGCCGGTGCGGGGTCGCGCAAAGTGAGGACATTGAAGGTGACGCACGTGAGGCTGGCTGTGAACTGGGCTGCTGGCAGACGGACCTCGCGCACAGACTGTTGCGGAGCCGTAGGCTGTTCGCGCGGCTGGCTGCGTGCGACTGCTACCTCGGCCTCAAATGCATAGGGCCGTGGAAGGTCGACATGTCCCGGGACCATGGCCCATGCCCAGCCTCGGAGGCAATGTGTTGCAAAAGCCGGTATCCAAGAGGGGAGTACCCATTGATCAGGCGTCGCGGGGTAACGGCGCGTTGTGCGCGCGACAGCATCTGCCAGCTCGTTTCCAAGAGTGCCAGTGTGGCCATAGACATGTTCATGGTCTATGGTCGCACGTGTGCAGGCATAATGTCGGAGTGCTGTGGCAAGACTGGAGAGCCGGTCATAGTGCTGGGCGGCTTGACCTGTGGGATGCTTGGACAGTCCAAAGGCTCCCCCACCTGCGCTCTGGGAGTCGTAGTGGAAAAGGACGGGCGCGCGATGTAGGCAACCGTGTTGTGCGACCCATCCTAGGCTCCAGCAGATTGCAAGGAGCTCTGAAGTCAAGGCATCGTCCAAAACTTTGACCCCTACTACAGACTGTTACAGGGTAGGGGGCAGTACCCCATCCAAACCCTAATCCCGAAATCCTAAACCCTAAACCCGAAATCCTAAACCCTAAACCCGAAATTCTAAACCCTAACCCCTAAACTCGCACTTGACCTGCAGTCGTG